TCATAAAATGAAAGAATAGCTTACCGTAATAACTGTAGGTATAAAACATTTTAATGAATCAAATGATTATCGACAAGTACTATTTTGTTCAGTTTATTTTTGTACGTATGCATATTTCTATAAAACGCAATAATAGCTTTTGCGGACGGACAGTTATAGGTACATTTCGCTTCGGTGTCCTTTGGAGTTCTACAGTATATTATCGTTTATAATGGCGTAAAATAGAATCTCTATTAGTATTGCATTATAAAATAAATTGTCAAACATGTCGATAGAATATTATTCCGATACGAAATATATTTTCTATATAGTGGAAAAATTGTATAAAAACTAAGAATCTTTGAGAATAAAGTTCTAAAAACAATATATTGACCAGTGTTCGACAACCACAATAAATAACTGGTATAGAATAAACAACGTAGATGTAAGGGAAATCACCAAAGTAAGTTACAAAACTGTATAAAGTTTCGTAGATGGACTGAGAATTCAGGGGTATTGACTCACAATGAAAAGATAAGAAATCAATGTAGTTCGGGTATAAATTTAGTGAAAAATTGAAAAGTCAGCAGGAAGCAGATGCAGACCAATCGAACGATATATGGATGGAATACGACGAGATCTAGGGAGGCTGAAAGTACCTGATTGAGAGGAAAGGATACAGGGTCGGGATTATTGAAGGTTGGTAGCAGTGACATCCAAAACTCTAACAAATTTGTGAGGCTTCATGATAAAATTCAATAATAATATTATCGTGTTCACAAAACGTCAGTAATATTATATTTTTTACTTGTTTTTATCACTCATGTAATTTCACCATAATTTATTCACTACTTACTACGAATTTAGAGGTGCCCGTTTATAGTATAATTATTTCGTATTCATCGCAAACGCGGTTTTTTTTCCCTTGAATTACAAACGCGTTATATTATTTAAGTTATAACATTATTAAAAATAAAACCACGTACTACAATCAATCATGCACGTTACACATGTATCGCGAACGTTGTAATATATCATTATTATAATGTATACCTGCAGCAGGCGTTGTGCTGGGTTACGGGTACGTAAACGCGATAAATCAAAATCAAGAATTATTATCGTGCGCATCTAGACGAACTAATATTGTTAAAAGTATCAAAAAAAAAAAAAAAAAAAAAACTACAACAACAATAATAACTGCGATATAATATATGCGTTGTATTAAATATTATTATAGTCCTCCGTCGTCGGCGGTTTTATATACTATGACATATTGATGAAAAAACGCGATGTTGTGCGAATCTACTTTTTAGGAAAACGTACATTATGCACTCGTCGTTTATCGATGAGCATTGGAGTTATTCTGTTTTAGAACTATTCCGATACAACGGTTAGATAAATCCGTAAGAATATATGGGTACGACCAGATAATTATTCGCACCCGAACAACGATTTCGAAAAATCAAGTTATCGGCAGCTGTTTCGCTCCGCGGCCCGGTGTACGCGAAATTTACCAAACATCTTACGCGATATGAGCGTGTGATTATTTGTTTCTGTTTCGATAATACTATGTGAACGGTAAAAGCCACCGCTACCTGTATGCTGTATAGGCAATGCTTGAACCGGAAACGAAGCGCCCCCGCTTATTTTATTTTATCGTCCACTCACTAATATCAGTTCTATCCGGTCGGAAGGACTCTTTTTTTCAAAGACTGTACATTTTCGAAAAATACGCGTTAGGTATCAACCTAGACGTATTGAACAATGTAAATCATAATCGCTATTGCCGATCGGCCGCTGCAAACAAAAACGGTCACTGCCGTCCAAGTGGGTATTGTAAAACCAACAGCGCAAAACCGTTCCTGCCGGACGCAAGTTTGCCATTTCGTATCGACGTTCGTACACGGAAACGCCACGTGCGGGCGTCACGTCCTCTTAACGTCGTACAATATATTGTAAAAGCTCGGGAAATTACATTTTAACACGGTCGACCGACCGATTTATCAGTAACGACCTTTCCGCGAGAGGCACGTACGTATTTCATTTCATTTCATTTTTTTTTTTTTTTTTTTTATGTTCCTCTCCACAACGCACTATTATATTACAATATTATACGTGTGTGTAAACATCGTGGCTTATCATCTTAACTCGTGCGAAACCGTACGGGACAAAAATGACGTACGTGACGACATTAATAACGCGATCCGTGCGGTGTAACGTCCGGCGGCGTATTCACAGACCGTATCCGAGAGTTCGGCCCGAACGGTATGTAAATACTATAAATACGCGACCCGTCGTGGTTTTTTCATCGACCAGATTTTAGTGCACCTACACTTGCGTATACATAATAGGTCACCATTACGGTTCCATCGCGGAGAAACGCTAACAGGTTTGGATTAACGAGTGTTAGGTTAAGTTTTCACGTTTCCCCTCTTGCGTTCTGGATATTTTTTTTTTCTTCGAATATAGGTAGTGTAACCGATTTACATACTTAGGACACTGTAATAACTTCCCGGGAGCGATATCAGATTCAGACCGACGAGCCGGTTACGTTTTGTAAAACTCTTAAAATCTACTAGGTTGCGTTTCGGCCCGGGCCGAACTCGGATACAGGAGTCTGTCGATACACCGTCAGGCGAGCTGAGTCTACACGAAGCGATAACAATAAATTCGCACATTTCATCGATCGATCCGATCCCGTTCGTAAATCATCAATATTCAATCGTATAACGGACCTATTTATATTTATATTGAAACCAACCATACAATATACTTCCTAATAATCGACCATCAATATAAATTTGATATTTAATGCGTTTACAACTGTGGGATTTTTTAAAAATTTTACTTGAGATTTTTGAACTATTTGTTTGTTATCGAAAATCGATGGGTGAAAACGTTTCCATCGGTTTTTGATTGCGGTTGAGGGTTTTGACCGCGAAGTTTGCGCCGCGCCACCGGCAAATGTCCGTATTTTATTTTGTTAACTTAAAAAACAAAGAAAAACGAAAAACTCTCCACGGTCAGGGAATATTGTCGATTAAAAACGTCTAGAACGCGGACGCGAACTTTTTTAATTATAAAAGTTTGATTAATTTTGTCGGAATGAAATGCGACCCGGGCCGTGATTACAAAATCGAATTTCTCTTTCAGAAACCTACACCTATATTAAAAACTTAATGGCCACGGGTTATTTTCTTCGTCTACGGGGCAACGTTTACAGTGACCGTGACACATTTGTTTTGACGGGCCACATGACAATAATGTAAATCATTATATTATATTATTAACGGCCAAAGTTACGTGTACACAATATTAATTTCAAGAATTTTTTTAAACTAGATAATTTTTTTTTTTTTGTAATTCAACTGTGATCAGCGCAACATTTCATTACCCAAAATCGGATTGACCAGACAAATTCAAATTTATTTTTTCGTGGTAAAATTACAAAAATTAGCAAATACCAATTACACTAATAATAGGTTTTTAGTTTTTTTTTTTAACACTTTGGCCGTTATTGGGGTTAATTCTTAATGTCGTTATCGGCGGAACACGTAATTTCAATGGACTAGACTGGAGTGACAACGGCGCAACACCAATGTCGAAGAATTGCATAAGCAGGACGCCGTCACAGCTATGGCCCATCGCTGGTAATTATAATAAATTGGCTGTCCCGATCAACGCTGTTCGTCCGATTTTTTTTTACCCATTTATAAAAACAGAATTATTAAGAAATCCTATTTATCAAAATCTATAAATGCAATTCGATTAAACGTGTCTCCCCGTACCGCCCGTTTTTATTTCGTCCCCGTGTAAAATCACGGCTATAAAACGCGTTTCTATTATTGCAGTGTGACATCCGTGAAGCCAAGGTTAACCAGTAAATCAATAAAAAAAAAATTCCATTTGCGTTCCAAAAACACCAAACACCCTGTGTATCAGCGAACCTTTACCGAGGGGTGAAATTTCGGAAATCCAGATTCGAGGTGCACACGAATTTTCAGACCTTTGTGTACGATAGACTAGACTGTACACAAAACGAATAAACAGGGTTTTTTTTTTTTTACATTTACATAGATTTTAGATATAATAATATATTATAGTGGCGCGTGCTGAAGTAGGTTTTTTTCAAGCAATCGCCTCATGACTAAAATGGATGGAGGGGCGGATCACTGAAGATGTTAAATGTTGATTAAGACTAACCATCACGAAATCAGAGATGCGAACAACACATTAAATTACGTTTATATTATATAGCTAAATAAGGTTTTTGCTGTGAAAAAATTATTTATAGGTCATATTATACAAATTCATAGTTTGGGCAGTGGGCCCTAATTTGTTTTGTTTTGCCTCAAGTATAACAAATGTTCAACACGCCACCGACATATTATGTTGCATTACAATTGAAACACTATACGACGGGGAACCATCACGATTCGCAATTGGCCAATAATATGGCCTAATGAAATTTGTATTCGGATGGGAAAAAAGCAAATAAAAAAAAAAAACCACATACCTACAATACGTATCTATAATAATATCACTATAATGCCCTTTAAAACCATAAACCACATACATTGCTAGCGTAGGTAATTGACTTTTTAGCGTTAGTATTATGCGGTAAAACTATCAATAGTTACTCAATTTCAGTAACTGAGTAAAACTCATTGCCGGTATAGTTACTTTCCTTTTTTTTTTTTAGTAACCAAGTTAAATAATTAATAGTTGTTTTTAATTTAATATTTTATATATAGGTTTTTAATTTAAGATAAATATTTTTAACCATTATTCTTTACGTCGATCATACGAAGAACACATAAACATATTTTAAACACGTGGAATCTAATAAATCATGATATTTATTTTAAACACACTTATTGACTCCGGCAATGTAATTGATGATGCGACGAAAAATTTAAAACTGACTGGACAAGTAACGATAGTTAAGTTACAATGTGACAGGAAAAAAAAAAACGTATCTAATTGAAAAGTAACTGCACGGCTTGGCGAATCGTGAAGCAGTGTGAAAGAGGAAAGTGAATAACGAAAACATGAAAAAACAAACAAACGAGAATGGTTCTCGCCGTGACGTTTTAGAGCGTGTGCAAGCACAACAATAATTTATTATTGGCCGTCTACATTTTTGTACAACATGTGTAAATAAATTACGTCGGATTTTTTGTTATTTTGTTTTTTTTTTTGTTTTTTTTGTTTTACAAAATAAACCGTTAACAATAAATAAATAAATGACGATTGAATGGCGATGGCGTCGGTGCGCCGCCCGTCGTATTATTTTCGCAGCCGCACAACGGTGATGGTGACTGGACGACGTGCGCGTGTTGCACAATTGCAGCGGACGATAATTACGCGGGACGACGGGGGCCCGGCCGATCGCCGCGGTCGGCCGTCCGAGATTATTTGCGGAACGGGTCGTCGCTGAGCGGTGGCGGCTTTCCGCAGACTTTGGCTAAGAACGCTGCAACAGAGACAAATGCGCGAGGAACGCGCGGAGTGTTAAAAATAGCCGCGGGTATAATTAAACGTGACCAAAAACACAAATGCAAAAAGCGGCGGCCGTACGAAACCGCGGTGCCGGCGGCGCGGCCGGCAACGTTGTTGTATTTATAGGCGAAAATAATGTTCGGCCGGCCGCGAGCGATTTCGTACCGGCCCGGCCCGTTGCACAGGCGAGACTAAAAATAAAAAAGCGTTTTCGTTTACGTCCGAAACGAGACGGCGGCCGTTCGAAATGTGTGTTTTTTTTTTGTCAGATTCTGAGCCGACCCGGGAATTGTTTTATTGTATTACCGCGATGCGTGTACGGGCGGGGGGTTTCCCCCCCCCTCGTCTTTTGTACGTAAATTAAATTAATCTGTACGATTGCCACCCCGCGGGACTTTCCTCGCCGTCGTCGTCGAGCACGAACTACACGCGTGCAGATTAAACCGACACGTTTTCCGGTCGGCTCTTGTGACTGTTCTGCTATTATGTTTACGGATAAATCATCGGTCGTTTCGAGAATAGAAAACCGCAATGACTAGCTGGGTTATTATTTTTTTTTTTTCTCAAGCGTTCGATTTTTATAAACGATCGCGATGACCACGGTTGTGTACATACATAAAACGGGCAAAAGAAAAAAAAAACCCCCCCGTGAAAACAAACACCCAAAACGCGTGTAACTAAAACACACGTCGTCGGATAGAGTGTAACAGGTGATAAGGATTTATCCGCAATAACATTATACACACATTATACAAAATAATAAAAACAATAAAACTAAACGAAAGCGCAAAACTATAGAAAAAACGTTTGAAAATAGAATAAATGTATTTGCAGAGCGAAATGCGTATTATAAAGCGCCTAGATTTTCGGACGGAAACGTTTTCTCCGTTCGGTGGAACGACGACGGTTAAGATATTGAAAAGCAAAAAAAAAAAAAATAAGTCGTTGTACTAATTTTTTTTTTTTCGACAAACAACGACGACGACCAACTGTACAGCTATAATATGAAAGTATGATTTTATGTTATAATGTAAGTTTATCGCCGTTCGTATATGTAAGCAGCACTGCACATTACATCACATAATAGAACTGTCAAGTCTTTATTATCGACTGACGTTTTTTTTTTTTTTTTTTTTTTCTATAACGTGATATAGGTAGCAGAATAATAATATAATGGCAAGCATTTTGCGCAGAAGAATAAATAGAAAATAAAACAAAAAACTAGAAGACGTCACGATCAAATCGGTATTTCGCAGCGGTATTGTCATTACTTACGGAGAAAGGTCTTCGTGGATATTTTAAATGGATTTTTTTTTGGTTTTAATATATATAATTTTTTTTTTTTTTTTTTTTATTATTTATATAGTAATACGCTTAAAATGGAATTTATTTCATGTCGCTCAGTTTGACCATCACTTTTTTAACAAACGCTGAAAAAACATATTATGCACACGGATTAAGTGGATTAAGGTATACAATGTGGGTTTTAAGGGTTATGTATGGGTACACCTATTTGTAATAATATTAATACGGGTATAATGAAATACGAATCGTATACTTACGGACATAGTGGATGAAACCGTCCTCGTCTTCTTGTTCCATGCAGTCCTTGACGACCTCATCGAGTTCAGCGTCGTTCAGTTTCTCGCCTGCAAAAAAGGCACACGGCCCGTGTGATTATATATCGTTGGTCCCGGGGGAAAAGAGCTCGAGTCAATTTTGTCTTACGAGTTCAATACGAGTAAATTTTAAAAAACGCACACTTTGGATCAAGTTTGGATCAAAACTATATATATATAAATTTTTTATTATACAAAAATTTTCACATTATACAAAAAGGTATAATGGTACATAAAGGGGAAATAATTATACTGGATTAAATTATGAAAATAAAAAAAACGCCGAAAATTGACTTATGTTCACGCGCAGGACCATAGACATATTTTATAGGTTACGGTCGCTTACCGAGAGACAACAGGATGTGAGTCAATTCTCCGCCGATCATGGTACCATCTTCGGCCTTGTCGTACAATTTCAGACATTCGATAAAGTCCTCATACACTCCTTGGTCCTTGTCCTTTTGGATTTGCGAGTAAATCGCGTAGAATTCGTCCAACATAAATTTCTTCTCGCCTGTAATATTATAATTTAAACAGACGGGTTTATACCGTGGATTTTAAATTGTCGTTCGAGTGGAGTCCGTCGTGGTCTTTCACGACCCATCGAACATATTACAAAATTTATTTCCGAAATTCCTTTATAGTGTGTGTGTAAATAATAATAATAATAAAAAATGTATAAACATTTTTATCGTTGTAATGATTTACAGTAAATGGTTTAATGGAAAGCATCACGCGAAACGTCATGTAGATTGTTCCTTAAAAAAATTCCAAAATAATATCATTTACCAAGACATTTTGAACGGTCACTATATACATGTTTTAAAAAAACGTTACCTGTGTGAGTTTTATAAAATCCGAGTCGGAATCCTTTTAAACATCTATACTATTATATTATTGTTGTTATACACTTACCTTTCTTCTTGGTGCCTCCAATCTTTTCGATGGTGGCCAGAGTGGGGTTCGTTTCCAAAGCGCGGAGAAGATCGCCCAAGTAGAAAGCGTCGACGCCTTCGTTAGCGCTGTCGTAAATACCCCATACGAAGTTTACGCCTGTAAAATAAAACCATGAAATATATGTACCCAATACGTACGAAAATCTTTGTTTTGACGCCCAAAACCATCGAGAGCCGATCGGTTGACTTACGTTCGACATCTTCTTTGGACAAGTCGGCCTGAAAAAAAATACCGTCGAAAAATAATTATACAAAACAAAAAAAAATTTTGATTCTCCACGAATAAATCAGAAAATGGAGAAATCGGAAATCGAATAATGTACCTATACCAGTTTAATACGTATAGTACTTGAAGTAAAATCGCGTTTAAATGTTTTATTTCGTCAATTATTATTACAGTACACAGCACTTACCATTTTGATCGCTAGTTACAATGGTGCGTGTATCCCGAACGAAAGTGCAAATGAGAATCGACTGAAATTTACGCGCAGCACCAGCCAGCAGCTGACCCACTGTGTTGGCCAACATTCCGGCGACGGCGACTATTTATAAACTATATTTATTTTCAAACCTCGTTCGCCTATATCATGTTGCACCTCACGAGATGACCGCATATACTTTTATGGGAAAATAATAAAAAAATAAAAAATAAACCACATGAATAGTACCACAGTATATATTATGTTAATTATTAATGTACGAGTATTATCCAGGTATAACAGTGTTATGTTGTAAAAAGAGACTATCAACACATTGCCTACAATTTCTGCATTTACACACATAAGTACCTTCCAACTCCCACAAAAAAAAAAAAAAATATTAATTAAATTATACATACCTAGATGTTAACTACATTTTACATAATATTATACCTACTTATTAATTAAGTACTTTTATTTAAACAGATAATATAGAATATCCTAATGAATTGTTAACGATTTGGAGCGTTTTTCCCGAGAACCAAATCAAATAAAGAATCTAGGGGATAAACTGCCATAGGTTATTTAAATTCCTTCAAGTGATAGGTACCGCCAACAGGTGGAAATTCTGCATCTTCCAAAGTAGGTATTGCGTGAAAAAAACAGAAATAGTATAGACACTTTCAAATTAAGTATCATTAGGTGGAGAATCATACTTGTGACTTTAAAATATCAAACGGTATAAGTACTGATCATTAAATGCAGATTACTATATTGTCTAATTCATAATGAAATTCAACAATTTCTTTCTCACTGCAATCTGCCTAAAGAACACCTATAATTCCAGAGTTTGAATTGATTTGGTCCGAAGTGAAAAATATATGTATGTATATAACATAACATACACAATAAAGTGAAATAGTCTCTAATTTAGGGAAAATTTGATAAAAAGCAGACACACGCATAATGATACTTTTTTTTTTATATTTATTTTTTTTTTATTTTTATCAAAATATAAATTGATGTACATAAATACAACACACAATACAACTCGATTCAAATATATAGTTAAAATTAACGTGAATTAATAATAATAATAATAATAATAATAATAATAATAATAATAATAATAATAATAATAAATAATAATAAAACAAAACTGCAACAACATACTAACATCTAATGAGGTACCTAATCCTAATAATTTATATCAAATGGCAATTAAAAATACACAAACACAATATTCTTAAACATTTAAAAATAATATATCAATGTTGGTATAATGTTATAAAATATATATGTATAAACATTTAAAAAAAAAAAAAATGCATATATAATATATTATAGTATTCAAAAAATTAATAATTTCCGAGTTAATTTCACAGAAGAAAAACATACACGTTATTATAGGATTCATCAACAAATCGTTATAATAACGTTATTGCTTTTAAAGTGAAATTTGTTACATAAATATTAGTTAATCTTTTTATTATAATGCAATAACAATAAATACAAAACAACAATATGACATATATTACATTTATTCTTAGCAAAAAAACCCTTGAAATGTAGCAAATATTAAAAAACATATTTTTATACAAACAGATCATTTTAGGTTGGAAAAATGTTGCATATATAAAACTATGAAACTATTGTACAAAATAATATTCAAATGAATTGTTTTTTTAGTCGTGGCAGTCTTTACATTAACAGTATTATTAATATATAAATATATATGACCTTGATGTATAATAAAAAAATGTTACATTCAAATTTTAAATAAAGCACCTTAAAATATGAGCTTTTTCAATACACTTAGAACTATTTATCATAAATTCAAAACGATATATATTTTTGATGAGCTACAAAAAAAGGCCCTTAAATATTCAACTTACTAATGTACTACCATATAAAAATATGTTTGAAAATGTACAAAGATTAAATATTTTTTTTTTTTTTTTCGAACAAGAATATAATATTATGTTATATACTTTTTAAACAATTATAAACTTGAATTAAAAATGTTTTAAACGTTGCAATATATAATAATATAATAATAAAATAGGTAGTTTATTGGTAAATTGTTTGTATATATATATATATATATGCATATACAAATTTAGAAATAAAATAGGCCAAAAGTGCCAAAAGATTATTAAAAATTAGGCCATTGTGTAAAATATCAATACAATTAATTATTAGTATTAATTCACTGAATTTATAAAAAAAATTGAGTCCGGCTTATTAAACACAGCTATGCTATATATAGCCATTATTAATTCTATATATAATAATAAAATATACAAATATCTCCGCTTAAATAAAAAAATTAGCAATAATAGTGTATCATTTTCATTGTGTATACATCTCAACTCTTATATAGATGCAACACAATTTACAAAATATATAAGTGTGTATATGTTACATTACATTTGTATTAAAAATATCAGGTACTTGAGAAGTATACTTTATATTTTACATAATTATAATGGTTTTGTTTCATAATCACATTCTTCAGTTCACACATATAGTAATACAAATGTTTAATAATCAAATATGAGAAAAAAATTATAATTTCTTAACAGTTTTTCTGAATTTTAACATTGGCAAGTATAAACTTAACAATAAAATAAATAAATAAAAACTTAAGCGTTATAACTTAAAAAAAAAAATATTTTGTACTTCTTTAAATGAATAAAAAAAAAAAAAAAAAAAAAAAAAAAAAAATAGTAATAATAAATAAATAAAAATAGTAGGTATAAATAATAAATATACACTAAGTACAAAAATGTTGAACCTAACAATGTAATCAAAGATTGAAATTGGATAAAATATATTTATTAAAAAAATAAAAGTGAATATATAAATCACAACCTACTTGGAATGTGTCAAGGAAACAATATTAGATAGAGCAGTAAAGTAAATGTAATTGACTCTTGTATGTGTGTAACTGAAAAGACATACAAAAGAACTTTTTCAATTATAAGCGTCATTTGAGATCCATTTTCTCGAAAGAAAACGTTCCATTGTAAGTCTTAATGTGTTAAAAGTTAAAAATATATTTCAAATTATTTATGGGAATAGGAACTACACAAATATATTGTTGTACATTAAACAAATAAACAAACAAAATTAATCATTAATTAATAATAATATTATACACATCAGCAAAATGCTAAATTACGTTTAACGTTTTATTTACAATGTTAAACGTTAATTTTTCTTTAATATTATAAAATCATTGTAAGCATTTCTGTTATGTACAACATTTCACCCCGAAATATAGTGTGATATTCACAAAAATAAACATTTAGAGTATAAAAGTTTTCATTAAAAAGTTAGCTTGTAGTTGGGAATGGGATATACTTGATAAAAAAATAAAATAAATAAAAACAAAAACTCATTGATGGCAATGGTTTAGTTATTTCAATACCAAAATACTTAATAGAACTTAGAAAACCATAAACATATAAAATATATATTATTTGTACTATCTTTGTGAGGTTTGATGAAACCTACAAACTAAATACCCTATAAAAAAAAAAATAGATAGAATATTCAGGAAAACACTTATCAACTATATTAACAATATTTTATGTACGTATGTATCTCACTTTCTTTTATAATCAATAAAGAAAATTTAAAAATAAATAAACAATGGTAAGAATTGGAGGCGGTGTTTTATAAAATGTCAGATTTACCTTTTTCAAGTTTAAAATTTGAAATAAATTAATGTCCAAAATTAAAAAATACTTGTAAAATATTATAACGTAATAGCAAATAAAACAATAAACAATTATGTCAAATAAATTCAAGTTTCACCAAGTCATTTTTCAAGTAATTTAAGTTTAACTACTTTTTCCAATTTAAACCAACATGGTTTTGTCATGTACTTAATGTGAGCCAATATTATATCAGCATTTTTTTTTTCCTAATGTCTGTAATAATATGTTATCGGAAAAGAATTTAAAAAATAATATAGGGCCTTAAATGCACCTCGGGAGTATATAATGTAATGGTATGCTGTTTTAGTTTTGGCACATAATTTTAAAGCTGTTTTAAAAGCACGGTTATCCGACTAATATTTTATTTGGCTCAAGGTGTTCATGAAATCCATCGTCAGCTACACTGGAATCTCCACCTTTCTGGCTTTTAGCCAGTTGATCGCTGCAACCAGACTCTTCAGTACCTGCGCCACCTTCAGCTGATTCACTTAATAAACTGTCCACATCATAAGCATCTACATCTACGTCTACAGTACACTAAAATTATACAAAAATAAAATAGCAATTATTATAGAGAATAATCATATCAAAAAAAAAAATAATAATATCAAATTAACTAAGTAAATTTACTTGAGGATTTTCAATGATATGAACGTTTGTTAAGTCGTGGTCTCCCACATTACTATGATCCAGAAGAGGCAATGCCGCCATTCCGGAAATATTATTAGAATATCGTCCTCTTCCTCCAACCATGTGTCTTGTAATGTAACTGAAATCGTTCAAAGGGACACTTTCCTCATGTACATGATCAACAGTAAATGTTTGTAGATTTTGAGCACAGTATGCCACATCACTGCCCAATGTGTTTTGTTGGGTATTTCGCATTCGTTCATTTTTCATGCATTGTCGTTTGATCATGATGCTTGTAGTGCATATCAATATACAAATAACACCTATCACGCACCCAATGACTATACCCAATAACTGTTCATCTTCCATGTACAAAGCCGGTTCAACAGGCTGTTTAGAATTAACTGATGAATGTGCATATGTCGTCATAGGTTCAATAGAAAATATGCCACTTTGTGGGCCAAATCCAGCATCAGTAGCAGCACGTAACATAAAAAAATAGCGTGTGTCATTATTCAAACCACTCAACTGTAAGAGAAAATAATATTAATAGATATAGTAATAAAATATAGTTATGGTTATAGTAAAATTTTTTTTTTTTTTTTACTTACGTTTAATGATTTTTTTTGACGAGAAACGTTTAATTGTTGCCACGTAGTCGGTGGTAGGTTAAGTTCAGATGTATATGAAAGATAATAACCCATAATTTCACCGTTTGATTTTATCGGCTCTACCCAACTGATATGAACAGTATTAGTATTCATCCAATGCCATTCTATCTGTTCTACAATACCAGGAACTGAAAAATATACTTTTACTTTTATTTAGGTAATTTAAAAAAAAAAATCATAATATAAATATCCCATACCTCCTTGAAGTGTGCGTACTTGTATCTTTTGACTAAATTCACTTTTCCGATTAGTTTTATCTTGGACAGAAATTTTTATTTCGTATAAACTATAAGGTTTAAGTCTTGATAGTTCATACGAACTTACACCCCTACAAAAACATGAAAAATAATAACTAGTATAATTTACTATAATTAATTACATTTTTGTTCACTTTGCTACTTACAATTCAGTAAAAAGTGTTGTGGAAGTGTCATTTTCAGAATTAGATATCAGATTATAGGTAATAATGAACAGCAATGATGATAGATCTTCTGAATCTGGGGGTACCCATGAAACATTTACAGTGTGTAGAGAAGTCGCAACTGCTTCAATTTGAGATGGTGGAGAAAACATATTCAAATGTATTGCTATAATTCTAGTTATTGATTCTCCTTCTTTGTTTTCGTTTACACAATTTAATAATATTTCATAAACATCCATATCACCTATTTACACAACATAGATATTTATTTTATTTTAGATTCTGTTGGTTTTACTTTAATAATGTGTATTTTTCTTATTTTTTGTATTTATGAACAACTTTTCTACAAGACATCTTGCTCCATTCAAAAAATTCCAAGAGACCTTTTTGTTCCATTTTTTATGCCCAGGAAGTTTTTTCCCTTTTATACTTCTAAATCATTATTGAGCTATATTTTGATTCATTTGACATTTTTTAGTTTTTATTTGGTTATGTGGATAATATATTTTTTATTTATTGGCTTCTCAAAAATGATAAAAATTTCATATCATAAGATGTACAGTAATATAAAAGTGTTCTAAGACACTACAAAAATATCAACAATTTATAGGTAACCATAATTTTTGTTTTTTAATAAGCTTTAAAGTTCAAATTTTGATAAAAATTGTAAAAATCACAAAATGTTCAATATTGTTGAACAATCTATGTGGATAAAACTTTTTACTTAAAGAAACAAAAACGCAAGACAATTATGGATAATAGTAATTTATTTGATAATTACAAATTAATATAATTTTCAATAATTTGCATTTGTCAAAATATGATTAACTCAACTTTGCTAAAAAATCGCTTTTTGTTGGAAATGAATTATCGATACATATAGTTAAATTAAATTATCCTATATATTCTACCTTTTTAAATTTTTTAACTAACATGTTAAAATCTAGTGTAAAATCCAATTACAAAGAACTTACTAGTATAATGTATTGCATGAGTTGTTATGTTTGGTTCAAAGTTTTGCAATGACATCAATGATTGGTTTGTTTGGCTGGTAATGCGATACATTAGTTTATAAAAATTAAACTTAACTGACCAATCATCAACAGACCAAGAAAGCTACAATAAAAAAAATATATATATTTATTGAATTGTATTTAAATTTCCATTGGTAAATTACAGACAAATTAATTTAAAAGTATACATTATAGTAAATATGATTAATAAACCAATAAAACGCAGGGAATATATCAAGCTAAACAATTAAAAGTATACAAACCTTAATGAGTTGCAATGATTTGCTGATGGTATAGTTCAAAACCGGAAGGGGTAAAATGGGATCGATAGCTGGTAATTCAACAAAATTCCATGAGAAATCTATATTAGGAAAACCATTTTGTGTTGCACCTAATACTTGTACTTCATACTGTCCACCGGGTTTGAGACCTAATATATATATATATATATATAAATACATTTTGTTAATAAATACATAATTATAAATAAGTTTTTTATCACATGCCAATGTTGTTTTAAACTTTTAATCATATAAAAAATTATAATAAATATACTATAATTACCTGTTATTGTGTATTGTCTAGTATTTTTATGCAACACTTGTATATAATTTGATGCACTACCAAACCGTCTCCACATTATATGATAATGAGTAATCGAGCCAAACAAAGCCAAATTTGCATTGATTGCAGACCACTCTACATGCAATGATATTGGGCTGAGTGGAATAACATTTAAATCAGGGACTGTCTGTGGTGCTATAAAAACAAAAAATTAATTTATTATAATTATTATAATTATTATTGTGACAAGTGTATACCTTCATCTTGAGTTTTACACGTTACTTTTTCAGATTGATCAGATCCAGATTTTCGATTATAAACTCTGACATAAAAAGTATAGTTCTTGTATGGTTTCAATTTCTCGACAATAATAGAATGGTTTAGACTGACTATTAGTGTTTCTTCACCCCCATCTATAATTCAGATACTAAATTAAATTTAAAATTAAAAACAAAATTAAAATCAAACTATACCTGTTATCATATAATGTATTGTATAGACATTTTGTAATTTATTTTTTATATCTGTAGCTACAGTAGCCGATGATGATGATAATGGATTTTCGCTGTGAGCAGGAACAAGTTGAATAGAATCTTGGCGAAAATGAATAGGTGGATTATCAGGGATATCTTTTGGAGACTTTTGCCAAAAAACTTGAATTTGAGTAGGAGATAAAGTCCGACAGCTGATATTAATAGGTGGTGCTGGTTTGTAGGAAGAAGAGCTAATAGTAATTAATGCTCCAGCCCATGTAGTTCCATATTGATTTGATGCAAAACATTGATAAATCCCGGAGTCAGTTGACACTGTATTGCTTACTAATAAAAGTTGTTTATCCTTGTTTATCTTTACACGACCTTAACTCAAAAATAAATATTTTATGGATTACACAGGTGTATTTCTATTAAAACAAATTAAACTTACCATAAAACTTTAAACATTCACCATTGAGATACCATGTTATATTAGGAATTGGATTACCTTGAACTCCACACTTCAAACGAATAGAATTCGCAAGAGGCACGCTTCGTGTTTCAGGTCGAATAGTAATTGTGGGAGGTGTCATTACTTCTAATTGAAAAACCTACAAAAATTAGTAGATAATAAATACAATTTTATTAAAAATATAATAAAAAAATTACAGACAGGGATTTTTTTTTTTGTGTACAAATAAGATAAGTATACATTAAAAACATAGTAGCAAATAAATTGCTACTAATATTTCCTGGTGGATAACCAGTAGGAACAAGCAACAAATAACACAGATGATATCTGGTGCCGATTGGCAACTGGCGAATCCACTGTATTAATCATACTTGAAAATATGTATAAGTTTATTTCTAATTACTTGAGCATGTAAATAATCTGGCCGTCTTGTCATAGGCTGGAACACATGACATGTATATGTTCCTGATGAGTTTGTAGTTACCCTTGTTAAGCTTAATATATTGACATAAGTATCTTTATTGCTGAGCATGGTATTCTGTTTGTTTCCTATACAACAACCTACATTTTAGATTATCATTCCTTATTTAATTATTTTTTATTTGCTATTTTACCTATAGAGGCCGTAAATGACCATTTGAGCTGAGGAGACGGAACACCTGTAGCAGCACATTCAAATGTCACATTTTCGCCTTCAGCCACATACTTCACAATTGGGTATAAAGTATTAGGTGAGATTAACGCAAGAGGTTGTATATTTGATTGAGATCCAGAAGATAAATCATTATTAATCTTTTCAACTTTCAAATGACCGACTTCGCTAAATTTGGTTTTATTCATTAGATTGTTTTTTGCCACACACCTAAATCAATATATCATTTTATAAACAAAATAAAAAAATAAACATATTGGTTTCAGTAACTATATAGATTAATATTCAACAACAAACCTGTAACTTCCAGTGTCATTTTCATTGACTTGTTTAATGTATAGTACACCAGGAACTTTTGTTATAAACCTATAAAGGAATAAACGTTTATTAAAAAAAAAAATGTATTATAATTATGTAATGGAAAATTATGATTTACCTATTGTTAGTAGACAGAGGAATTTCATTTTTCTGCCACATAATAGTTGCTTCGGGTATTGAATTAACGTGACAAGTAAATCGAATGATTGAACGACTAGCTTCTGAATTAACAGTTACACCGACTGGAGATTCATCAAAATCATGAAGGGCTGAAGAAAATAAATGTAAAAAATATAATAATTTGTAAGATAAAGATAATGTGTAAATTTAATAATAACTTGTTCAGCATACTCAATGTTAAAATATTTTAAATTACATATATTTGAATAAAATATTAAATACTATTTCAAAAGTTTTTGTATGTTTCAAAAATGCTCAGTCAAATCCTAAATTTACAATTTCATATAATCAAGAAAAAAAGAGAAAGAGGGAATTATAATTTTAATTTTTTATAATTTCATCAATTCAGATAAACAATTTTTAAAATATACAAATATAGGAAACAAATCCGTAATTACACAGATCAATTGTATTAGGTACAACATGATTAAAACAACACATATAACTCATAAGCACATTTATACTTATGATTGTTATACTCAAACAACCATAAAATTAGTCACAATTTTTTTTTTGACAGGAATATAATATTATATTAAAAATATTATTAAAGTGTAAAAAAAATAAATGTACAAAACAATGAAAAAAAAAATTAACAATTTAATAGTTTATAAGGAATTTCAAAAAATATTATCAAAACGTGTAATTTATGTTGTAGAAACTATACAAAACTAATAAAAACGATATTGATTAATACAATAATTTAATTACCATTTCAAATTCATCAAATTCCATAAGTATAATTTGTAAACAATGTAAAGGGCTATAATGATAACTAAACTACTAACTAATCTTAGTAATCCGTAATTAGATTTCAATTAAAAGTATTGTAGTAGTGTATACATATACAGGATGTAACAGGACTATTTAAGAAATTTAATAACTTTTTTTCTATTGAAATTGTTTTTTTTTTTTTTTTTTACATAAATTATTATTACATGCTGGCGCTATAATTTAAGTATTTTTGAGTTAAATTTTAATGTTTATGAATTCGAAATAAAAATAATGTACATACTTCGCACGCTGTGTGGGCTGTATGTAAATGAGAAATTGGAAATATAGGATATTAAAGAGGGGAATTTTACGCATTTGTATTCAACGATTAAATGGTAACAAAAAACCATTCTAAGCGTTGTTAAGTTATACATGTTTTAAAAGGCCGTAATATTTATGATTTTCGTTATAATTTTTAAAAAAGTACTACTTTAAACTCAACTAAGTACAATTTTTAATAAATTTCCTGTTAATTTTCAAGGATTTCTTTTTGGTCTAACAAATTTATCCACAGAGTACCTACCGAATAAAAGTTACGGAAAAATCTCGCAAAATTTAAATGTCTATAAATAGCTCAAAAATGGCTAAAATAATTTGAAAATTTTAATACGTCTAGAAAAAGCAAACATAAGATTTCTGTTTAAATTTTAAGTCTCTGTTAACATTTTTAACTGAATGACAACAAAAAAACATAATTGAAAATAAAAATGCATTATTTTCGTAAATTTTCCCGGTTTTCTTAAGTTTTTCTCGGTTTTTCACAAATATTATGAAAAACGCTCAGCAAATCAAAAAATAACCTTCCTAAAGTAGTAACTAGATAAAATTTTCTTTCAGAAAAAATGCAATACACGTAAAGCAGAGCAAGATTTTTAGTAGACATTGTGTATACAGTATAAAAAAAAGTAAATAACATCATTGTAAAACGAATACATTCTTCGCTCCGCTCAGAATCTAAAACTTAAATATATTCAATGGAAAACAATTTATTATACTTATTAAACAATCTTGTTACTAGTGGCCGATCTAATGGGGGGGNGGGGGGGGGGGGGGGTTTGGGTCGCAGTAGCCTCGGTGCTAAAAATATAAATTAAATCACCTTATGTGTCCTATCTTCTCAACTTCCCACCTACAATAGTGGCGTCCATCACCAGTATCTTTTTTTTTGTTAAGTAATAATTTTTAGGAGCACCGCCCCCTCCCCAAATAAAAAAAAAAAAAATCAACTCTGGATCCGCCACCGCAGTATTGTTATGTTCCATTTTTATATATATATATATATACACATACTTTGAATGGCCAACGGAAAAGAATAGGTGTTTCTAACGTTTCATACATTTAAAATGTGACAAATAATAACACTGTCACGTCTCAATAAAAATAATCAATCGAGACATAAATTGTTGTACTGAAAAAAAAATGAGAATATACTGAACTATATTATTACGTGACTTAATATTTGAAATATTTTATAGTATTGAGAAGATTATAATAGTATCTATATAGTTCTCGTCAGACGCGAAAATAATAATTGGAAATGTACAATCATTGACATCGCGAATTATTACGAATCACGTAGAAAAAATAATAAATATTTTCTTGTCATATATTCTATATATTTCCGTTTACCTAACCTTAAGAGTATACCATACCCGTATATGTAGTCTCCGTCGAACTAACTATCGAATAACGTTTTTAGAACATACATTTTATCGTTGGTTGAAAAATAAATACCAAAATTTAAAGATTAAAATTATTTAATTAAAATTTAAATCTAAAAAATTATCATACAAACAAGTTATAGTCAAATAAATGTTTGATTTTTAAATACCCAACTATATCTTTGTTGTGCAACATTTTTTTAGAAAAAATATACGCACAACCAAAACCCTCGGAAATATTGTCCTTTATAACTTATGTTATTTGTGTTTAAACTTTATTTTTAATGTAAACGCCAAAATGTATGTTCTATAAGTAACGTGATTTTGCTTTGTTGCATTGTTGCCCACACATTAAATGCGGGTATAGCATTCTTTTAATTAGGTAGGTATATAGTGTGTCCTACAGTGTTATCCGTATGCTAATTACTCCGAATACTAACTGTTAATATTTTTTTTTTTTTTTTTTTTTTTTTTTCAATTGAATTTTGTGTCAAATGGACACAAATGCAGAGAAAAATTAAATATTCATTTTCATCCCCTAATCACTGGAGAAAGAAAAACTATTATTTTTTCACTTTTTAAAACGTTCAAATAGCTATTTTGTAAAATATATTATTCTAAAAATCTAAATCTATCATACATTCATATCCGATTAATAATTTCTTAGTTATAGCGGCTTCAATGTACCTCTATAAAAAAAAGCATTGTGAAAACAATAATGGATATTCAATAAAAGATAAGAAATTACCGTGCCGATTGTGATTCCTTTACACGTAACGTATTATTCTATTAAAAATCATTTGTTTTCACACTTATTTTATAGAAATTAAAAAAACCATTATTAAAAAACTTCTGATCGAATATGTAAGTATGGCAACTACATTTTAATGTTTAAAATAATTTTAAAAATTGACTTTTTTTTAAAATTGTAAAAAATGAAAAAATAAAGTTACGTTTTTTTAGTGATTAAAGGATGAAAATAAAAATTTAATCTTTCTCCACATTTGTAATCCCTTGACACAAAACCCGATTAAAAAAAAAAATTAAAAAAAAAAAAATAATATTAACAGTTAGTATTCGAATAATACTGTAGGACACCGTATAATATAATAATAAATACAAAACCTAAATTAAAATTGATTATTATTATAATTTTTTTTTTTTGATGTGAAAAAGGATATCGTGATAATTATATTAGATTCCAATTGAAATCCAAAATGATAAAATACTCGCAGATATTCAAAATCGGAGATTTCCGTCTTAAAACAATCATCAATCAATTAATTTCCCAATTTATATCTCTGCATTATTGGTTTAACTTTATTAACTAATTAGCTATTAAAAACTAAAATATAAGATACGATAAGACTATATTAGAGAACAAAATATTCATAACATTTTATAAGTATTTTTTAACATAACATTAATTAAAAACAGTGCCAACTGTATAGATAAAATATTAGATCCTGAACAAAATATAATAATTTTTAATGTCTTATTGGAAAACAATAATATAATTTTCATAGTATAGAAATAATACCCTATCAAAATCGCGAAGGTTATTATTATTATTGAAGCACTCGATGTTTTAAAAATTAAATTTAAGTTTTATCCCGTTGCACAGGTGATATATTGTCGACATACCTACGAGTATTATTGTATTTAATGAGAAATCGTACAAAATTCGCTCGAAATAATAAAGGTTCTACAGAGTGATCTATTTATATTATTAACCAGCGATTTTCTCGTAGAATTGTAAAGTGAATTCGATTTCTGTGTTTTTCAATTGTAACGTAATTGGGGGTCCAATTTTGCGAAGTTAGTACACAATCATTATGGAATCGAATAAATTTTATTTTAACACAAATTTAAGTTGTTGGACCATGTTCCTTATATCAAAAGCGTATACTCATTTAAGAAATAATAAGGAGTATAAAGGTAAACAATTTAAGATGAAATTAATAATAATTTATAATACAATTAAAATTCACTCTAAAATGCTCCGAGAAAACTACTGGTTTATATGATAAATGAATCATCCTGTATACATGCATCACGCAGGAAATATAATTCCCTAACGAACGTTTGAAATATTTTCAATAATACATGTAAGTATAATATTTTATATAAAGCAGGGGTAGTAATGTTTATTTTATATAGGTAGGTGTACCATACAGTTAAAATATCACGTTTCGCGACGATTTAAAACAAAACATAATTAAAAAATATAATAATGTAATTTTTTACAAATGTCCAATATTACTGAAAGTTTCAAAAACACATACAAATAATATGTCCGTTAAGTTGGTATCGACACATTATGCTAGGACTTCACAACTAGTATCAATATTTTGATAGGAATTTGCTAGATTTTACAAGGGCATTTTTGGATTTTGCTAGGACCCTTATCGCCTTCAGGGGAGGTTCCAAATTTTTGCTGAAACCAACGAAATTTCGGTTTTATCTATATTTTATTTTTATAAAAAGTATAGATAAATACAACAAATTTTTAATTTATAATAATATATTACACATACAATTTCAAGGAAATCATACATTTATCTATATAATTATTAAGTCATACTTTTTTAAAATTTGTTTTTAATTTAAAGAAGTTTAATAACTTATATACGATAACACTAAGTAAAGTTATTACATCACGTTCTATACATAGTTTGTTTAATGGTTTAGCCATAGAGTAAATAGTAATACTACTCCATGGGTCTGGCGCAATAACCAGGTATTTCCGAAATACATTGGCATCATTTTTTAAGGAATTGGACAAAGTGCAGGTGCTGACTTAAAAATTTGGAACCTCTCCGGAGGTGAGAGGGGTCCTAACAAAATCCAGGAAAATCTAATTAATTTATCTGAATATTTTGGCATATTTTTTTATGGAATCAGACAATGTACCGGTGCAGCCACAAAGATAGTACCAGCATGTTTGTTTTGTAGATTTCCGAAGTTTGGGGGCTCTAGCAAAATTTAAAAATGCCCTAGTAAAATCTAGCAAATTCCTAGCAAAATATTAATACTGGTTGTATAGTCCTAGCATAATGTGTTGGTGCCAACTTAACGGACATACAAATAATATATTATATTTATTATAAGCTGATACTGCCCGATTCGCAAAGCAACTTATACATTCCAGTATTTGAAAATGATATCGGTATTATAATTAGGGTAAGGTTAGGAACGTGTAATGCACTATAATACCCTACAAATTTCTTTTAAGACCTAAAACTTCTAAATAAATAATGCGTTAAAATTGTTTTTTATATTCAATAATTCCGTTATCTATCATGAATTATGTTTAAATACACGATTTTATTTTTAAGTTTTACAGACAGAATTGAACGCTTTGACTAGGACTTCTTTTAATCTGGAAAACTCCTACTACCGAACGGTATCGATTTTATTGCTCTGCCATATTATTATTAAACATAAAATTTAACGATTGTACATAATATATAGGTTTTGTTATTACTGTTGTCCAATTATATAATATGAATGATAGTTAGTTATAATACAAAAATCATAGTAGTGTGTAAAAATCTTGATATCAAATATAAAATTCAAATGTTCGTCCAAAAATGTTTCAAAAACCCTACAATTCTTACTTTAAAATCAAATTTGTGCGCGAACATTGCATAGCAAGATTTAAAATAAAAAACATCGCAAAGCACATCGAAATCCCAGCCAAATATATTTAGTACTCGTATAATGAAATATGAATTTTCTTCAAAAGGACTAGAAGTAAAAAAAATATATAATATTATATTACTATAATAGGTATTTACCCGCTAATAGCAATGTAAATGTTTTTGAGGAAACTGCACCGTAGGGCGTTTGTACTATACATCTGTAGGATCCCGCGTCGCTTGATTTTTTATTCACCACCTGAAATAAAATAATAACGAGTAACGACCAGTGCTAATACGCGAAGCAATACAATACCTATACTAATTTGACGGAAATAATAACGTCGGTGACGGAGGAAATTTGTATTATTTATATTTATATATATATATATAAATAATGCGAATTTCCTCCTTTATAATTTATATATAGGGATAAAGTTATACGCAATTATATTCATATTATTACATAGTCATTGTAATTATAGGGTATACAAGGTAATAATAATCCCCAACAAAAACCTAACCGTGTAAAAATGGTCAAGTCCCTGGCCCCCTCCAAAAGCCGTTAGCATATCAACGTAGTGATATCTACATTGCGGCTAAGTCTACGCTTTCTTTAGTCCTCTTATATAACTGCACTCCGCCCCACTTACTTTCATGAGTAACACTGCTCTTTTATTTGTATTGTTTAACACTTGGCCAATTCATAAACGAGACATAAAACAGACTTGGTCACAATATATAGATAACTATTTAAAACCACTTCGACTGTTTTTGGAGGGAGCCAAGGACTTGACCATTTTTGCACGGTTAGATTTTTATTAGGGAGATCATTCCCTTTGCTGGCTCTAGCATTGTGGATATTATCCTAGTTTTTTACAAGACACTATACGGATTCTGTATGCCGTAAATTTTCTCTTTTAAAATCTTTTGGGCCTCTGTTGAGGAGTTGAGTGATTGGCCATTTGGACGTTGTCAATACCAAGCACAAATACCCAAGTACGATATTTCGTTATCTGGTATCGAGATATTTTAATCATAATAGACATCAAGCGTGGCCTATCATCAACTAAGATGGTAGACCTATATTTTATGTAATATAGTATAAGTCTGGACCGCTACTGAATACATATTATAATTAAAAATAGTACCATCGTTGCATCGCCATTGTAGATAATTCATTTTCTGTCGAACACAGAAACCAAGTACACTGTTTGAAATAGGACGTTTGTTTTGACGGCGTAGGAATCTGTGATTCATTAATAAATCCCGTGCTAATCAACCAATTAAATACAATTTTAGAATCTTTATTTTAATTTGAACTTAGAACGTTTTATTCAAAACTAATTGTGTTTTTTTTTTTTTTTGTTTCAAATTGATGGATGAATATTTAGAACTATACCCGCTTTATATAAGGCACTAATTTTGAGAATTTTTTCTTAAAACGGAAACGCCGTCTATTTGAATAAATACCAGATTCGAATAATAATGTCGTTTTTTTTCGAGCTTATTCGACTGATATAATTATTTTTCATTTCACCCGACATACACATTCTGTACAGACATCTATAACGTTTATTAAAAAAACTTTTTCTATTTAAACCGCAGAATTTTAAAAGCGAAGAAATTTGACAATTGTTTTACGCAAAAATAATTATTATAAATAAATATCATCCATAAAACTACACATACATAATTGTATACGTTTTAAATGTTTTGCAAAATTGTATTTTTTAATAGAGTTTAGTAGGTTGTACCGGGTGTTTCAGACAATTTTGAAATAGAAATACATTTTATTCGTCAATGTTGCTTCAAGAAAAATGTAGGCTATTCGAATCTGATGTTAAAAGTAAGCGTTTCTATTTAGGAAAATATAGGTATATTATTTAGCATGCGCGCACCGCAAGATTTAACATTTTTTTGAAAATAGGCTTTTAAAGTGTATTTTTGAACACCCTCCCCCAATCTTCCTGAAAAAAACACACTTCAATCTAAATCTAACCGACTAAAATGTTTCACGGTATCGTGTATTATGAGAGAACCCACAGTGTTAACATTTATTTATATTGTTCGAATATAATGCTGACTCAGTACTTTACAAATTGCCGTTTGTATAATGTTACAAAAGTAATAAACAAATTTAAAAAATATCCGATACGTGTTTTTTTTTTCTTCTAATTGTTAAGATCTTTGTGACATGATGACGATGACGACTGTATAGTGACTCGATTACAATTAAAATATGTAATGTACGGAAACGCAATTACGAACCACGGACTCACTCGTATAGTTTTATCGATACACTGCGCATATGATTATATGAATATACTGTTTTATATTAGATGCATATAATAGATTAAAATAGGACGGGAAATTAAATAATATATACAAACACATTAAGGGGAATTGAGTAGAGGCACCACCGTGCCTCAGGACTCCAAGAGCCTCACTGCCTCAGCATGTTTCTTAATACTTATACCTTTGTATTTTGATATTTAATTGCTTGATAATTCATAAATTGAAGCAACTATAGTAAGTAATAACTTTTTATTGTATAACAATATATTTATCTTTTTGCATAATACTTGTGGACTTGTGGATCTTTTTTAATTGGATTTTCTAATTTTTCTTTTTTTTGAACACATTAATATATCAAATAATAATTTTTAAAAATCGTTTGTATATTTTTAAAGGCCTTGTTGAAAAGTTCCGCCCAGGAACTTCTCAATATCTCGGTTTAAATACATAGCAACGAAATTGTGGGGAGGGGTGAGGTGTATTTTTCAAATAGATTTTCAAAACCGATTTTATCTTGAATCCGTTATTATTGTTATATTAAGCACTATGTGTATTTACAACTCGACGGATACATTTTTTTTTTTTTTTTTGCTTGCTTAAAGTTTGTAATTTATTAATAATACAAATACCTATGACGGAATTATATATTATGACATCGTCCAAACAAAAGAACAAAATGTCTAGTTATCAAAGGGCCCCGTCCTCCTTGATTCGTTCTTGGGGCCGTAGTGTTGTTCTATTCCCGATAATATGGGAAAGTGTTGGGAACGTTTTAGTTCATAATATTTTGTTACCTATCAAATTTATTTTAATAATTTCAATAGTTTTGAATATTTTATACAAGGATGAGACACTATTTAGCACTGATCCACGCCATCCGGTGTCTTGCATTGCTTGCCGCATTTAAAATTTGAAAAATATTAATTTCACTGAAAAATTTGTTGCAAGAACTCAAAAAAAAAAAAAAAATAAATATTCCTAATGTGGATGTAATCTGTACATCCACGCAACAAAATGGTGCGTTAAAAAGTGCAAGGTACGTTCCATTTATTCTTATTCCCGTTCTCGTTGCCCCCGGGGACGGGAACAGCCGAAACAACACTATAGGGTATACGTCGGCATGCCCGAAATAATTCGCGCTATAAGTGTATAATATACCCTGTATATTGTTGTACTCACTTTATTAAAATACAGAGAACCGTCGGGTAGAATCCGGCGGCGCGAGTCTTTGACTAGATCCAAAGTGCGGTTGTTGAACATCCATCGATACGTGACATTCGGCAAGTTGGAGTGACATTTTATCGTGTACGGTTTACCTCGGACTGCCACACCGGTCTCCGGCGGCTCCACGATCCACGTCGAATCGGGTCCGATTTCGTCGGCTGTGTCTGCTCGCACTGCGCATAAAACAAACAACATCACGATGAGTATATGATTTTCTCCAATTATTATAAGTCATTATTATTACGTTTCTTGTGCGCACGTGTAGTCGGGCGATAATTTACGCTTAACGCGGTAGTTCGTTTGCCATTACTTACAAACAAAAAACCAGAGTAAATAAATAAATAAAAAAATTCACATACACAGGTCATGTAAAAATACACCGCCAATATTACCGTAATCATCCGAGATTAAAAAATAAACCCCTCGCGAATTAACATATTATTATATAGGGCCTAATACAACGCGAAAATGTTCCGTTTTTCGAAACGAATATCGTATATTATATGTTATTAGTTATATTATGATAAAAGTTTCGTATAATCCAACCCGGGTACGTTCAAGTCCCGTTTTTTTATGGGTGGAAATTCATCACATAACGCAAACATGAAATAAACATATTTTTTATTTTTTTTTTAATTTGATATTGTTGATGGATATGCAACTGTTTTAAATGGGAAGTTGGAAGGGACGATATGTGTAGAGTTTAATTTATATATACACCCAACAACCAACCGTTGATAACGAGAAAAACAATTCTAAGCATAATATAATTAGTCGTATTCCTCTCCTTGTTATTATCAAGGTAATACCAAGAAATTAACAAAAATTATACAAAAAATTGCCAGTTTATCCCATTTATAAAATGAAACAACAATAGGTAAATCAAAAAATGACCTCATTAACGCACCAACTAAATAAAAAAAATACAAGGAATAATATTTGATTGGAACAAGATTCCTGGTAAAAAAGTTGTCACAAATAAAAACACATCATAATAAAACCAATACATTCCTCATCGCTTCCCTCAGAGTCTAAAAAATTACAATTATACGGTGTAAATTAAATCAATCAAAAAAAAAAAAAAAATCACGAAGAAGGGACAATATTTCATAATTGTTTCTTTACTCTCATCGTTAAAAACTATTGATGCGTAATGTAATGTTCAGTGAGGGTCAAATGATTTTGTTGTGTGGAAGGGAGAAGGATAAACCTGACGTTTTAAACATTTTTAAAAAATTATTATTATTTTGTATACAATATATATATGTGTGTGCAATGTGTATAATATGTATATAATAATATAGCATACGTGTTAAAATAAATAAAAAAAAAAGTAATAATAATAAAAGGTCGTGAGGTGGATATATTCCCACACTACCATGCATGTTCGTTTTTATTTTGTTAAGATTTGTATATAATGCTACTATTTAAATATATATACATATATATACACATAATTTTATTTATTATAAAAATAACTCGAATCGAACCACCACAAAATAAACGAAATCACTTCCTATAAAATAAAATATTATGTTGCGCACAATGATGAAATCTCGATATAATTGAGAAAAAACGACGAGAGCAAAAAACTACAGTTTGAATTATTGTTTGTTATCGAGACAATTCCATAATTGGGAGTTGTCCATAAATAGAGTATAGTTTCACAGCAAAATAAACATTATGTTGTGTGCCCTAAAGTAAAATTGTACGATGAAATGAATAAAATATGTCCTATTGGTAGGTACACAATTTTTTTCTCTCATTGATATTATTAAAACTTTACAAGCAGGTCGTATTATATAAGATATACATCAGGTAATTATAATTATAATTAAAAAAAAAAAAAAACAAGCCGGGCTGTGGATAGGCTACACCGTTGTATAGGTGAAAAGTTTGGAAGGAATTGGATGTAGAATAATCTTTAATTTAAATTATAATGAAATCGACGATAAACTATTGAAATTGAACAACGATTCTATATAGCCAACAAGGTACCGATGTACATCCCAGAAATAAAGAAAGACAAAACATATGTATTGTGCCGTTAATTGTTGTTAGTATTTTTTAGTTTTATAGAATAACTGTTGAAAATCTAGAACAATTTTTCAAGTTAAATACCACCTTGGCGAGAAATCCACATATTTTTAAGATGTGTACTGTGTGAAAAAGTCTGAGCATTATTATATACTGAAAAAGTGTTTTCCGAAAGAAAAAAACACATCTTAATAAATCATTTTTTCACTACAGTCAGAATATAAAATATACTCGTGAAAATAAGAAATTAATAAAAATTGTATATACATTATAATATGATTCAAATCAAAAAATGTTCGTGGTTATAAGGCCGGAACAGTATAGCTATGCACACGTATATAATATAAACCTGGTAAAATATTTTTTCTGTACTGCAACTGTGTTACTCAACTCGATACAATATAAACTTTTTTTTTATATAATTTAAAATGTGACAATTTTTATTAATTTCCGCATAAATTATAACTACCTACTAAATTATAATTATCGATAAAATTTCTACCGAATCGACTCCCGTGTATCGGCTGGATTCTATACTACAAGCGCTTGTGTGATATTGTGAGAACATTTCGAATTAAGAAATCCTACACATTTGACACGCATTCTCGCACGCACACATAAGCACTAGCTGTCTAGAAACTAGCTAGTCCAGAAGAATTAATTTGATTGCTATTTCTTGACAACCATAGATCAATTGACAACACCACAGTATCTATAATCATGTTTTGGGCCAACACTTTTTTGGGTTATAGAAATGCTCCATAATGTTCTTATCGTATAAATTGAGTTTTATGTGAATATTTCGTCCAGTGGTACAGTCGGCTTTATTTTCGATGATTTCTGTACTATCTTTCAGTTGACTTCAACGATCAAAGACAAGTAATAATACTATAACGTTATGTTATTACTAGTTTACCGAAAATCAAGAATGGCCATTCTATAATCTGGAATACTTTCTGTAAATCTAATTTCTGTTCGTTTATTTTCTGGAATATTATATACGTCAGCTCCAACTACTTAAACATTAACTATATCAAATTCGCCTAGATAATTCCATACAATAACCTCATATTGAAAATTTTTACAAACCGTTATAGCTGTATAGTGTACGCTTAAATGTATACGATGAAAAACTGTGCACAACGACCGCGAATGGTCGATGAACTACTCGTATAATAAAAAACAGTGAGTATAATAATAATGATTTTACAGTATCAGTGCTAATTTTTTATCGGACAAATCAGAGTTTTGTTTTTCAGCGACGTATACAGGAAGAGCCAATTCTTAGCTGTAATTTTTAAAAATTTTTTTTCGCTAAGGTCGCTACATAAATCGATATAAATTGTTTACGGTTGATTTTTTTTTTTTTTTATAGTCCCACGCTATTTTCGCTTAATAAATAATATATTTATGTACGTACAATATATATAGCATAGCTACTACAGTCGTTGCTCAATGGTGTGAAAAGAAAAAATAAATAGGAAACGACAAAACATTTTCGTGGTTATTAGCGGATGAAAATAAAAAAAAAAAACAAAATCAAATTTTTTAACAAGAAACTTATACCGCCATCATTGGTGTGGCAGCCGAGTATAAAATAATATAGTCGAGTAATATTTTTATGAATTATCAAACGATACATGTGGGTTTACCCGATTATTATTATCAATCATTACGACGAGTATAGCTTTGTAGAAAATAATATAATGATAACAATATTGCAATGAACCCGCGGTAGGGAAATCGATGATGTGTGGGTATAGTCAGAGCATCGGGCGCTGGGGGCTATACAAAGTTTTAAGAATCAAATGGGGCCCAGAAAATATGCACTTGGCCGGATCAATGAAAGCACATTAAATATGGAGGGAGGGGTGGAGCAGATGCGGCGGCGACGACCCTTCGCCGCAACTGCCACCGCCGCCGTTGCAACCGACGACGATGACGACATCCACCGAGCGCGTGTTCGAAAAGCCTTCTCGTGTGCATTTTTATTGTAAACCACGTGTGTTCAATGTGGTCCACCGTTAGCTTCCTCCAACAATAACGATATTGCACACTATGACGTCTCGTCATCTGCCATGCACAATACTATAATGGGTACAATCGATCGTTTTATAGTATTGCAGTACCTATAATACACTGCAATTACACATAAATAATTATTAACAATAATTAAAACTGTGCATTTCGTAGCAATTATAATGACAACGATTTTTAACTTATGTATTTTTTGTCGACTACATAAATATCGAGTGATTACGAACATAGTATAATATACGATTGATCAGCTAGGTATAAATTATATTTAATAAAATAAAAAAAGATAATATTGCTAATGGATGTGCCACTGTTTTAGGAGGGAAGTTGGAAGGATAATATATAGACAAATTAAGTTTATACCTGTACGCAACGATAAACCATTGCTAACAAAAAACCATTATGAGTAGAGATTTTTGGTTATCTTTTCTCACTTGTTACTAAGGTAACCCAGATATTAACAAATTACCTATCAGTTTTCATTTATTAAGAAAACTACATATTTTTAGAAACGATGCAAAGAAAAATACAAATTAACAGAAAAAAAATTATACGGAATGATCGACATATTTAGAATTTTAATCTTATGTAAACAAAATTCAGAATAAAAGAAAAAACCGTGTATTTTCAATGGAAAAATTTATTTCGTTACAGGACAACAAAAAAACTGTCCTGAAAATAGCTTAAATAGGGCTCAATTTTTTGAAGTTTGGACGAAAATGAAATAATGTCGTCTTCAATTAGAATTACCCTAATACCTATAATAACTAAGACGTATTATTATTGTTATTACGCGATATACAATTTAATTTACAACAGAGAAACCGTAGAAAAAAAACACTTTTAACTTTTAACATATTTGTTGGTTTTCGTTTTTTGGTAATAATAATAAATTACGTTCTTGTAAAAATTAAACACACTAAGCCTCAGTATTAAAAATAGTTTATCTACATATATAGATGACTAATTCAATACGTCATTTTAATAAATCACACGAAATACGAAAGACACACTAACACTTATTACAAACAAACACGCATTAAAATACGTTTCTTATAATGGCTTTAATCTCTTATCTATCTATCTGTAGTCGTTACTTTTATTAGTAATTTATTTATTATTGTCCGATTCCCATACACGGGCACTAACCATATATTTTGTAATTAAACTAAATATACAATATACTTAAATATTTATATTGTGGACAAATTGCATGATGTAGGTCAAATTTAGCAGTAAGTCATATATTTGACCTGTCCCAATCATACTACCATGTAGATATTTTACTACATCTTATATACTCACTTTGACCGGCAAGATACTCTGGAAGATATTATACACAGTGTACCTAAATGATTTTTTTCTAAGATTTGATCCAAAAACTTGATGCATAGCCAAAGTGGCCGACTATTTGTTATTGCAGTTAGTAAATAAAACTTCCAGAGACGAAATAATGTCGTTAATGTTGAAAAAGTTGATATACAACAAAAAGACACGCATTTAACAGATTGGATTCACAGAAGTAATATTATCAATAACTTTTTCTAAATTCAAAATTTCCATGCATACGATTTGTTAAGTGAAAACAATAACGTTTTCTACGACAAACAACTCTAGCAGAAACGAGTCACAAATACAGAAATACTACAGGAAAAGGATCAAACGATTTGGACAGTGACTACGAATTCCTACGAGAAGCTTGTGTAGGTAAAAACAAAAATATTTCCTACTACGAACAACTTATATAGTAAACGACGAGTAGGTAGCAAATGCAAAATTATACTACAGTAAAAGGATCAAAAGATTTAAACGCTGAATTCGAATTCCTTCAAGTGCATTTAACGAGTATATATTGCCTGTTAAAGACAACGTTTTTACAAACGTAGAACTGATAGCAAAATGAGAAAAGTAAATTAATAATATAATAATAATAGCAGTACTCCAATTGTGAGGAAAATCATCCTAAGAAGCGAGTGATCCGGTGAATCCGGATGAGTTTCCACTCCCTTCGATTCTTATTTCGGAAAATTTTCTAGACGCGGTAAAATGTTCAAACATTCAAACCGAGCTATTTATAAACATTTAAATTCACGAGTTTTATACGAAATTTTTATTTGATAAGTACTCTGTGAATATAATTGTTAAACCAAACAGAAATTCTTGACAATTTATTATGAGGTTCATATTATACTTGGCGATCAACAAGAAAAAGTTGAAATTAATGTAGTATTTGTTTTTAATAAGAATTTTAACAAAAATCGTGAATATTACAGCCTTTTAATCATATATAATCGAACTCTGTTCAAAATCATTTTTCGTTAGCAGTGTTTAATCTTTGCGTACACATATCATTAAATTTTCTTCTATATCCTACATTCTCAACTTCTCACCTACAACAGTGGCCCACCCATCATGCAAAGCGTGTCTTCTTTAAATTGTTATAATACTATAAAATGTTTTGTAATGAAGTACTAGAAAAAGAAAACGCCAACTCCTTCAAAATCTTCATATATTATACGCACTCGAGTAATGATGATATTTATGTCATAGCGATTTTCAACTTAATTTTAGTTAAAACATTAATGTTTTTCTATTATTTTGTATTAAAACGGAAACAAAAAAAATGCATGTGCGACGTCCTTTTCTCGGACGAAAGACGCTCGAAAACTATAAAAAGATTGACCGTGCCCAAACCGTTTTATGGGGTTCATTGGTAGTTTATTAAAAATTCATTATCAAAAACACGTTTATGGTCCGATCCTCAGGGCCTGATTAATGGATTTTCCACAAAGTTGGCTGGAGTTGATTTTTTTTAAAAAAAATTGTTTATCATAAAATTTAACTGATCCTCTCCCTATAAATGAACGTACCCCCCCCGCAAAAAAGGTCTGGCAACGCCTATGGTCACTGATATATAGAGATACAATTTTGAAAGAAATCAATTTTAAAAAAAAAATTGTTTTGCTGCGCCCCCTACCGATCCCTAATACATTTTAGAACTAAACCCGTTGTATGACAGACATCAAAAGTTTGATATAAAATGTATCTAAGACCATATAGGGTAGTAAAATTGACGTTTTCAGATTTCCAGAATAAATGAGTTTTCGAGTTTGCGGATCTTAAACCAAGATGTTACAGGACTTGCTAAATCTTCTTGCATTAAAATCGAATTTCTTGCGAAACGACCGTTTGTATTAAATATTTTTTTATTTAAGCGATGGTCCACAGTGGAATGTATCTGTACATGTTCTGTACGTTTTATTTGTATATAATACAAATTGTTAATTTATATACATTTTATTGTTTTTTCTTTTATCACAACATTAATATATGTATTATAATATTGTCAATAACTATCTATAGTCTATATACAATTTGATGAACGCGTATTTGTAAATTTTAAGAAGGCCGATTCTATACTGATCGGTGTACCACTGTTTTATCGCAGGAAAATTGGAAAGAAAAATATACACAATATATAAATACAAAGTAATTTAATTTATAAACCATTGCTAATGAAAAAATATTGTAACATAATGAAACCAATATATTTCTCGTACCGCTCAGAATCTAATACTAAAAAACCGAAGAAAAAAAATGACGTTATGCGTGACCAATTATATCAAGTACAAAAAGACCGTATTCATTCGCGGCTATATAAAACAATATCAAATATAACTAAATCCTTTTTCTAGAGGGGAAAAAAAAAAAAACAAACAACGAAACTATATTTGAACAAAACGACCATTCGCCACCGTCATCTGGTCGACGGAGACGACGACAACGGTTTCGGGCGAATAAAAACAAACAAAAATAATAATAAATAACAATGATAACAACAATAATAATAATAATAATAATAATAATGATAATAATAACACAATCCGTGTCCGGATGACGTTGACCTCGGCCGAGCGCAGCAGCACTGCAGCAGCATCAAGCAACATCAGTTATTTTTCGAGTGGTCCATAATAATAATAATAATATAAGTGTAATATATTATTTATGTATATACATATACGTATACGCACGCACAACGTCTTTTTATCCGATATCAACCGCGTGTGCCATCGTCATCATCGTCACGATCACACCGGCAGCGATGATGGATATTTTCGAACTCTCCTCGTGTGTCCCGCGCGCGCGCGTTCAAGGCCAAACGCCGTCGTCCTACTACAGTATTATTATATATTATTGTGGAGTTTTTATTATTATTTCTCATATTTTTCTTTATGCACCAAAACGCACGCGCGCGTTCCCTTTGTCGTGGAACGTTTTACACTGCGCACGGCTAACCACTGCTGCTACATTATGAGCCCCTTACACTCTCGATCCTCACCATCACTCGACAATAATATTGTGTGTACACGTAGCACACAACAACAATAATAATAATAATAATACAAAATTCGAAATGCCCACGACTAAATCGTATATAATTGTCAGTGGCGGCTCGTGAGCTCAAGCAAGTGGCCGGGGAAAATATTTTGAAAATTACAAGGGGAAATTTTAATATACACGGCGAGACGAGACATCTAAATGTAATATTATTATTACAGTATAAGGAATGGAAAACAACGAAATGATGTTGTCGTTAATTACAACCTGTTGATGTTTAGGTTTTGATCGATTGTTTTGAAAATCCGAAAATACCAAGAATTTTATAGATTTTTGTGAAATCGATATTCGAACAAAATTTATTTCAAGATTGTGATAGATGGCACCTATGTATTATAGACTAATATCAAGTTACACGGAAACGGTTCTGTAAACTGTTGGTTTATTGATAATCCGTTGGTTCTATACAATTACCACAGTAATGTTATAGAATAGATTACGTTTCACGAAAGTATTATTCGAATTGGAATGTCCTAATCGTGTAAATGTAAATGATCATATCTATGAATATAACCACTTACTTTGTTATCAACTGTGGTTATTAGTAAAAATTATTTTCTGCATATCAAAAACATTAAATTATGTTTTTACGTTAGAACAAAATTATAATTGAACGATAAGGAGACATTCAACAGCTCTGCAAATTGTATCGAATTGAAATCAGTTCAATAACTTATCGATTTAATAACTCTGTGTTTGATAACGTTTATTCATTTTACACGCGGTTATATTTTTATTTGAATGGGAAAGAAAATTGTCGATTAAGCGGTGCTTCACCCGCCATCTAGCCAGCCAGCACTGATTGTTGTACACGTACTAACAGGAATTTTAAAATTCGGCATCGTCTCCGTCAATGCCTATACGAGAAAATATCGAAAAAATAATAGCGGGAAACATTAAATGTCGTATCGGACGGGGGACGGGCCACCGTACCGGCACTCTTGTCGTGTTTGCCTACACCGCACCGGTGTTTGCAGGCAAAAACGACAAGAGTGCTACCGCCGCCAATACGACACGTGCATATTTACGCTATATAGGAAAAAAGAAAAAAAAGAAAAAGAAAATGGATATACAATATGCCATTTATTATAAAACCCCGCGAGTTTGCCATTTGCACGCGTTGTGTTTTCGGCAGGTGAATATTCGTTCTCCGAGAGGCCAAATAATCAACGGGGGCACGCGTTTTTTCGGTATTTTTTTTTTTTTTTCTAATGTTATTATTGCGTAAACCGGTTTTTTTTTTTTTGTGAACGGTTGCTATATAACCTATACCGTAGGTCGGCTTCTATATACGAACGCACACACGTTTATATTATAATATATAGGGACACATAATAATTTCGGATTTCTGGAAACGCAAATTTATGGTAATCCAACTTCTTTGTTTTACACTTACACACACGCATGGACCTGATACAACACAGTGATGCAATTGGATATTTTATAATATTATACGGGTGAATTTTAATTTAAAATAAAAAAAAAAAAAAATGTTTGTCGATTACACATATTTGTGGTGGTTTTTTTTCTTCTCTCATATACGGGAAATGTATGTGATCTAAACGTCCGTTTTTATAATAATAATGTATACGAATACCGGAATACCTATATTATAGGTACCTACTAAATCTATAACAACACAATGTTTTATAGAAACGATTTCTTGACGGGTTATTTTTTTTTTATTTTTCATTCATTCTTTCTTTGCTTTTCTTTATAGAGCTCGCAACACTATACCTATAGTAATAATAACGTTTGTCCGATAACGGTGGTTTCGCAGTGACGTTACTACGTCATCGTTGCACAACATAAATATATTTATATTCACACGATGTGCGTTAAGTGACGAGGGGGCAGATGGTTGCCCTCCCCGTTAACGACTCACAAACAGCACTGGGGATAACTTGTTTTTGTTTTTTTTTTTTTTTGATTTTACATGCATACTAAATCCTCAATTTATTTAATTCGGAACGTTACGTTTCGAGCGCGCCATTAACATTATTTTAAACGACGAGGGAAAAATAAATACAGAAAGTTTCTCCGCGTAGTAATTGATCGTTAATTTCGAAATAACAAGATTTTTGAACAAAATAATATATTATGCATATAATATTTGATGTTTACTGTCGACCGACCGAATGCCGCGGCGTATTTGAAGTAAATTAAACATTTATAATATTATTATGATCGAGAATAAGATGGAATATAAAGTCTCGTTAATTTTCAATGACAATATATAGATATTAATATAAACATCCTATAATATACAAATAATAATGTCATATTCAATATTGATGTTTGATAATATAAAGTCGGTGTATAGGTATAAAATTTGTTTCTGATATTCAAATATTTTCTTCAAATTAATAAATAATACAATTAGGAAAGGTATTTATTTATTTGCCTTATTAAAAAAAAAAAACCCGCTAAAATATTATAATATGATTTTGCGCAGTTTTTAAATAAATTTATGATGAATTTCTTACAATAATAATAATAATAATAAGTAATTGAAATATGCATCAAAAGAACGTGTAAAAAAAAAAATATATATATATATATATTACGAGTCGGTAAGCTTTTTCGTTTTTTTTTCTTTAATAAAATGAATAATATAATATAGGTAGTGTACGTAAGCAGGTAGTTTATGAGTTTTAATCCAAAATTACAATACCTACCAGAGTTACGAAATTAAAACTATATTAATTAATTTAACTTTGGAATGAATTCAACCGTTGTAAATATATAATAATATTATAAAGCGATTTGTCATTATAAATGTATATAAACCCACGCAAATAAAACGAGTAGTTAAAAACTAACAGTATCTTTCAATTTATAAATAATAATATAATCGGCTTAAGTACTTTAGGTGTTTACCCGGTAATTACCCACAAATATATTTGTATTTATATTATATATTTAAAAATATTGAGTAAATATATTTTATGTACATATTTTTAATGATACAGTGTAATATTTTAATTTTACAGTAATAGTTATTGATTGTTATACTTATAAGTTTACCAGTTGGTGTAGTCATGAGGTGGAAAAAAAATACTTTATGGAAACATCATCATCGAGATGAACGTGATAAAAATGTTTAAAAAAGTATAAAAGTTGTCTAATAAAATTTGTTACCCAATATAGATTTACCGGATAAATATCCATCATTGTACATAATGTATTATTATGAAGATGAATACCGGTGAATAAGAATCAGAAAAAAAACTATGTGGAAGGAGGGTTAAAAATCGCGATTCATTACGCAATTATTGTTTTTTATAGACAAATTTATTAGTAATAGTTTCGATCACACGTCAATAAGTTATAAGACATTGAGTTATGCAATATTAAATAAACGTTTTTGATTTTGAACGTAAGTAAAAAATAATTATCATTTACAATTTTTAAAAACGTGTTACTACAATATATTGTTATAAAAAACAACTTACAGACATAACTATGAGATTAATGCCTATATAAAATTGTACAATCGAGTTTTATTTATTTTATTCAAATAGGTACACATTTATTTATTTATTTATTTTATTTCATACGGAATAATCTCCATTTAAAAAAAGACATTACAGCAGCAAAACGTATTTTATGCATCAGTATACTAAATTAAAACAGCGTAATAATTAATATATAAATAATAAATAATTGTTGTTTAATTTATAGTGGATTCTGAGTGAAACAAGAAATTATGCTTTAATTGTTTTTAATTTTGTCTATTTGTTGTAATTCAGTTTAAAATGTTCGTAGAGACTTGAAATTTGAACAGAAACTTAATATTAGCAATTCATACACATGATAAAATTTTCAAAACATTTTAGCCATTTTAGAGCTATTTTAAGACATTTTAACTTTTAACGTCATTTTTATTCGATAAGTACTCTGGGAATAATATTGTTAGATCAAAAATAAATGATTGGAAATTTAACAGGTGGTTCATTAAAAGTAGCACTTTGTAGTAAAAAAAAAATTGAGTACCTACAGGTACATTATAATGTGAATTTTTTTTTTTTATAAGAATTTTAATAGTAAATTTTTAAGAAAATCGTAAAGATTACAGCCTTTTAAAACATATATAACCGAACACCGTTTAGAATCGTTTTTTTGAGAGCAATAAACGAGATGCATATAAAAATACATTAAATTCCTCTCTATATATCCTACCTTCCTAACTTTTCACCTACAACAGTGGCCCACCATCATGCGAAATATGTCGGTTTGTATCGTCATTTTATTATGTAGGTATATCTACGTCATATGTAATATTTATACGATACTAAGACATAAATAATATTTGATATTAAAAATTTAAAAAAAACAAATAGTTACATCGCTATACTTTTGATAAATTTAAATAGTTTAATTTAAGTTAATTATATTTTAAACGTTCGATTGAGGTAGGTACCTATATACACTACACTATACCATATGTACATACCACAATAATGGTTTTTTAAATTTCTTTATTATAAAAACTTATAAAATATATTTACAATTCTTATTAGGCATTATGATAAGCAAATATGACTAATGTTCAGGAATAGAAGGAGAACAAAAAAGAAGCCTGTTGGCGATATCCTAGAATAATAATGGTGTAAGTATTTTATGTAGTAGAACTATATTATATATATATATATTTTTTTTTTTTGGGTGGGGGAAAATATAAAATATATAATAATTGATATAGGTACATATACTTTTCTGAAAGTCGACTTAAAAAAATAAATAGAAAACATCTGTTCTAGTTAGGTTATATTACATTATATTAACTACATCGTACACAGGAATATCATTTGTGTATCAATTTTCAAATCACTGACACGAATGCTGATTGATGTTTAAATATAAAATATAATATTTTTCTTTTTATATAAGTAACTTGATTTGTGTTTTCTTTAAATTAATCAAAACTTATTTGATACTATTGAAAAACATGCACTTGTTAAATGTACAAACAAATACACACATCTGATAAACACTCAGAAAACACCCGATAATAAAAAAAAATAAGTTGTAAATTACCGAGGCTAAAAAATTCCGTATAAAAGTATTATATTATGTATTTTAATATAAATAAATATTATCAAAAAAATAAAAAAAAAATAAATAAATTATTGTTTATTAAAACGTAATATTGAAAAATAACATTTTAATATTTACTTGCACGCTGAAATTATTTTACAAATGAATTAAATTTGTAAAATAATTTTTTTTCAGTATTACTTACAAGAATATTAGTGTTCATAAAATATAAAATTATAATTCCGATTCAGCGACAACGAAAAACCCTTAAAGCTTTGGTGTAAATAGTTTTTGATAGTTTATGAAGAAGGTTAAAAGCAATTAGGTTAGGTTATAAGTTAGGTAAGGTTATATTAGGTAAGTTAGATAAAATAAATATACTTCCAATAGTCCAATTTCTGTTATGAAAAACGATTTGACTGTGTATGACACTTCTTGTCCATTTTGTAGGGAAAATATTTCCATTATTATTATTAATTTTCTTTTTGTGACAAATCCGAATTTATTATAAGAAAAAAACGTTAACTTATAATGCGCCTATACTAAATTAACTAAATAAAAAAACGAATGTTTTTTACAAAACGTATACAATAATTTAAATAATTTAAATATATTTTCAAAAATGTACTTTTAAATTGACTTTTATTCGAACTAAGTTGTCTAAAAACTAAAACGTCATATTCGTCTGTCAAAATGAGTATCGGGCAGTAGGTTAGATTAGGTGTTCGTCTTTTCATTAAAAGATAATAAATAATATTAAAATTTTACAAAATTGAAGAAAATTTGGAAAACCGTTTTAATAGTTTAACTAGTAATATTAATTATTATTTTATAACTAATATAACTGACATAGAATATAATTTTAAAACATCAAAATTACTTTTAAAGTAGCATCGTTTCGACGAGTGATTTTATATAAAATAAACTATCACACTGTGGATAATGTAGTAGGTGGGAAGTTTGAAAGGTACAAGGATATAAGGTAATTTAATTTATATACTGGAAGCAATTACTATAATAAAGATTCTTTACTACACTCAGAAGCTAAAATAATACAAATAGTACTTGATAGAATAGAAAAAAAGTTAAAGCTAACGATATTAAATAAAAGAAAAAGAGCTGATACTTTAGAGTGTGTCACTATTATAAGTGGAATATTGGTAATTTACAATACATACAGTTATTTAATTTATATCTGAACGTAACGATAAATCAAAAAAAATTCTGAACTAAATTCAATTGAACGCATATTTTGAAATACCGTGAATTTTGAAATTATCGCCAAAATTTCAAACGCTTATTACAAAAAAAACTACTAAATTATGTCAAACTATTTTTTTATTAGTTTATAATGGACCTTGTGTAAATCCGTCGATTTTTCTCAATCATTAAGAAAACCATAATAAACTAAATACACCAACTAAACAAAATTTGATTTAAAAAAGCGGTGCTACACTTGAAAATTAGCGAAAGATTTCTGGTAAAAAACTTGTTCACAGACACAAAAAAAAATTATAAATATGCAAATACTATAGTAAAACCAATACTTCATCACTACGCTCAAAATATAAAAAATAAAAAAACACCATACAGAACCATGTTTAATAATATTTAAAATGGTTTTATTTATTAATAATAATCTCATTCGTTTTTGTAACACTGTATAAAACTGTAAGTGAATAGAAGAATTTAAATGTTATTCAATTTTCCGATACAATTCTCGACGTAAATTTAACAGCATGTTATTTTATTCGAAATATTATTGCGGAATATCGTGCAATGTGACAAGAATCAAGTGCTTAAACAAGACGCCTTCTATGCAGCATTATATTATAAGTATACACTTTATAATTATTATTTATAAATAAGTATACTGTACTAGGTATATACTAGATGCAATATGTGAATAAGTAATATAACATGGTATTACTTTTTTCACAATATTCACTATACCTACCTGTTTTATTACAATACATAATATCTATACTTTATACGTGCGATTGCATGAAAAAAAATAATGATAAGCAATTAATATACAGGTAGATAGGTACCAATAAAATAGTATAACTTTTATAAAATCTTATGTGTATCAGTGTATGCATGTAGATATTTGTAATTTCCGGTTATTTAAACAGGAACAATAACAATTTTTTTAATAAACTGTATTTTAATATATTATTATAAATGTTTACTTTCCCTCTTCCCCCACTTAACAAATAAATATTTTTGATCCGTTTACTCAATATGCGCCGTGCGTCACACACACGCCACTCCGCCTTCCATATGCAACGGGAATATGGTAATATACCTATAATATATACGTCGTTATTTAGTTTGCAATTTGAATGTATAGGTTTTATTATGATGTGTGCTTCGTTTTATTTGGTAAATTTTGAACGTAGCGAGGAATTTATTTTTCTTTTACTATGATATAAGCGATTTTTTATTTTCTGTTCATCAACGACTTTTCTATCAGAAATCTTGCTCTAATCAAAAAATGACAAAAAAAACTCATTTGTATCATTTTAAATCTATTTTGTGAAACAGTCAAATTAACAACAATAAGTTTCACTCCAAAATTTTAATAGAGCATTTTTTCTAAAATAAAATTTCGTCTAGTAAGTTGTATTGGGAGGTTTTTTTTATAGTTTTCTTAATAGTTGAACAAAACTGAGAAAAAAACATAGGAAAAGTAGGCAATTATAAAACAATAATTATTTTAGATTTTGTTTTTTTGTAATTCGGTTAAAAATAATCGTTGAAATCTGTAATTCTCGCAGACTACTTATATTAGGATTTTCTACATATGGTCCAATGTTCAAAACATTCTGTCGGGTTTTTAGCTATTTTATAAGCATTTGATATTTTAGAGTTTCTTTTAAATTTTTATTTGGTTTTATGGAGATACTATTATTTCGGTCGATGAGGAATGCTTGAAAATTGCGAAAGAGGTTCATCATAAGTTGCATATGTTGTTTAAGAAAAATTGAGAGTACTTTACGTTCCAATGTTGACGAAAATCGTCAAAATCACGGCATTTCAAAACACTATGTTTATCCCAACTTCGCTGCTCGAAATTGTATTTCGTCAGCAAGAATTTACATTTTTATTATTATTTAAATACTGTACACGGAAGAGTCCGCTGACTGGTCTGTGTCTTGTGGTTCGTACGCACGATGAAAATATAATAGTATAGCGATCGGTGATGAATAGCCCCGGGAAATAATATAAAACGGTCGGTGAGCTAAGCTCTCGTCCGTTATATTTATAATACTACAGAGGGATTAAATATAATAATATAAAACACACATATATTATATATATATATATAATGCACCACATTACATTTGACAAAAGTTAACTCTTTTTTTTTAACGTTGATTTTTCGTTTTCTTTTGTCTTTTTTGTTTATCCTTATATATTACGTAGGAATTGCGTATATATCATATACCTACTACCTACTATATTATATTCCTCAAGTGAGTGATAACGTCCATCATCATAGCGCTTTCACGGTGTATACAGGCGCGTCTTCAGGTCAATCCTACAAGGGTCGAAGGAGGGGCAACGAAATAAAAAAATCTTCTATGTGTACAATAAACTGTGATTCTCAGAATCATTTATACTACCAATTTTCTCGTTATTTTATCCAACTTTGAAAACTATTTTTAAAATCTTAAAAACTACATTAAGGATATAAAACTTTTCCAATAATTTATTTCCACTCAATTAAAGGGAAAAATTACGTTCATTTTTACGGATGAAAATATTACTTCACGGGTGAAACTTTCACGCCTCGAAAAACGCTCCAATTTCAACATTGACAAAACAATTAAACAGGGCTAAAAAAACTATTGGAAATTTTAAACAAGTTTCGTTTTCGAGTTTTTACCGCGTACGACGACGGTGGGAGCAAAGCTAATAAAACAGTAGTTAAGAGTACTACGCATGATACCCCTCATAATTCGATCGTAAAAATAGTATTTTGCGTAATTACAGTAGATTTACCAAAATATCACAGCATATTCAGAAATACTTTATCTGTTACTTTTTTTTTTTTTTGACAGCACTACCCAATAAGTTTTTAATAAATTAATAAATTAAAAAACCAAAACAACCAAACGTTTATAAACCGTCGACTTTTTGATTGTTTATGTTAACAAAATAATTAGTAAAAATAATACGGAGAGAGCGAGGCCCATTTAGACTCCGTGTTCGAACTTTAAAATCCGATATCTTTATATAAATATTTGTACTACAGTCTACAATTTTTAATGTTTTCATGAAAACTATCGAATAACGCAACCTTTTAGATACAGATGATAACACGTCCTCTTAAAATGTCTATAATTTGCGAACAGAAATCATATTATTCTTTATGACATACATAATATTATATTTTATTCTTTATCGTAAAAAATATTATACTTATTACAAATAACATATATATATATATATATATAAAGGTTCAAAGTGACTACATCACGAATATAATTTAACAATTTTTAAACTAATATAACACTATTTATTAGAAATTGCCAACCTTCGTAGGTATTCGAAAATAAATCAATAATATATAAAGTGTATCAGCAAAACTTGACAATAATAATTTTCTATGTAATTGCAATGTAGAAAAATGGTCAAATTCTGTAGATACACTCTGTATACCGTAAAACATACTGTAACCTAAACTAACCTAACCATATATATCATCACCAAAATTTAAAGAACAATTTAATTGAAATATTAATCAATATCAATATATATAGGTACCTTTATATATTTATCGACACAGTATGTAATATATTGTTTCAAACAGAGGTAAGTGTGATTTATACAAATATAAAATGTATCTGATATATATAAGGTACCTGATATATTTTAATCAAGATAAATAGTTCAACAAATTTCACGCACATTAGATTTAAATACCAAGTATAGAGAATGCGTATAGGTAGCACACAAACATAATATACAATTTTACGAATAACGATAAAAAAAATATAAAATTCAAAAATATAACAATACGCGTTTATTTTAAATTAATAATTTTATCAAAAAGTTTTGGAATGAAAAAAAAAAAAAATACAAAATATTATATAATATTTAAAATTAAAACCATTATTCTTACGGAAAACAATGTAACTATAATATTTATATGCCATAATTTTTTTTCGTTATAAATCATTATGAAATTAACATGATGAACTGCACATTGTACAAAAATAACAATACGGCTACATAAAATTGCATAGATATATGAAGATTTTTATCAATTAGAATCAATAAAATGTAACATTACATAATTCACAAAGTATATTAGGTGCACATTTATACAAAGATAAGAGTTCAATATTATATAAACTGATTCCTAATAACACAAATATTGTTTTTGTTAGCTTTTATTTAGGCCGAGATATAAGCCGTGTAGGCCTTTTGCTGCTTCCATTGAGCTCCTCCAGAGGTCTTTATCATCTCAAAAATGACATTATATAAATATAATGTATGCGTGTATTAATTAACTTGTGAAGAAATGAAAATGTTAAACAAAAATCATTCGTAACGAAGCCCTAGTGAATATCTCCTTTAGCAAAAAACAATAATACATAATAGGACCCTTTGGACTTCATTCAAACAGAGAGTCACAATTGTGAAAGTGCGGAATGCCTTTGTTAATAGCATTATTATAAAATATCATAAGATTATTTGTGCAATATTAATACAACAAATAATTGTTTTAAACCCTTCTAATGTTTAATTTTTGTATTCCATACAAAATTCATAATTTATATAAAACGCATTTCAGCCTGAAGTTAATAATTAATATAATATGCTATTATAATAACTATTAAGGCTTAAATTGCCGAAAGTACGCTAGGCTCGACTAGTACAATTGGTACATATACTATAATAATTACGAGTGTGGTGAAACTCTATTTTAGGCATTTCCATGTAAAAAATATACGATGGCTGATAATAACTACGAGTACTTGAATCATATCATTATAGTTCATAATATTAAACACTTATACCGATTAATCAAAAATTTAGTAAAATATTATGATATACGAATTGCATACAATAATACGACTAATATGTTCGCATACCGAAATAAATAATAATGGATATTCGAAACATATGAAAAAAAAGAGCTAATGTACAACTAAAACAAGCTTGTATAGCATGTATATACATATAGGTAGCGTCGGTTTATTTTATGTTATTAATGATTACAAATACGGTGTAATTACAGTTACAGTGTAGTTGAACCGATTAGTTTTTTAGAAATAACTACATGATTCATAAAATTACTAAAACGTATAGAAAATGTATAACTATGGGTGGTTATAGTTTATACCTTACCACTGTGCACACCCTTAACGTATTAAATATTTGAATTATTCTACAATATTGCCATGTTAATGTTACAGTCGAGTACAAAAAAAAAAAAAAAAAAAAAAAAAAAAAATACAAAAATAATAATGATCAGATTATACGGTTGACGTAATTTTTGTCAGTGACGCTTTATATAATATTTATCACGCTGGTCATACGTTCAATGTATTTTATTAAGATAATCGTACCTTATAATATAGACACCTACAAAATTTCAAATGCAAATGTATCAAGTCTTCTTACAGTTCATAGTTTTCTCATCGTTCGTCGTTTTCCGATTTAATATTGTTTCAAATATTATTAAATCAATGTTTTTTTTTGTATACGTGTAACACAAATGACATACCTAGATATGAAATGTTTAATAAAAAGCTAAAAGACGTTTTTTGTAGAATAATGAAACAATCGAGGATTATATAATAATTTTAAGTCACGATAACTATAGCTAAAAAATATATTGAATATGTTTTATTTTAATTAAAAAATAACATAATATATTCACGGAAATTAGAATTAAACACTGTATATGTATAATTCATGGTGAGATTCTATGAAATAACCTATAGTTAAAGTATAATACATTTTTTGCCAATATAATGCGCTTTAACTTAAATTCGTCGCAGGTAATTCATACATAAACTATTAGGTTAGGTTAGGTTAGGTTAAACTATTATCTATCTACCTATAGTTATTTCATAAAATAACGTTGTTCAACGCTAAATTATTATGTTAAGTACTTATAACATTTTTAACGCTAAATTTAATTAAGCACTCGCGGCGACATCATATTAAAATATAGCTGTGTAGTGTAGGTAGTATTAATGGTAATAATATACGTCGGTATAGGTAGGTACCATTGGAAATCAATATAGACAATATTGTTACACGATACAGGAATGGAGGTGGTTTTCACGAATGAATATAATATATAAATATATATATATATATATATATCAGTAGATGCAAACGACGACGACGGTCGATATTTGTATAATTGTAATAATATAGATGCACAGTCTATTAAAAAATATTATATAGATAGCGATGATAATAACATACGTTCCTATTTTCACTATTTCAACCTACCAGCATGCTATAGAGTTCGCCGATCGTTGTTTGTGGACCGTGGTGCGTCGTCGTCATATTTTATTACTGACCTATCGACTATCGTAATACGTTGTAGTTTATTATAGGTTAGTTACATTATTTATTATTATTATTATTATTATTATGATTATTATTGCATATGCAAATGGTACAATACTAAATGACTTTGGCAAATCGCGAAATGTGAGCGTTTTCAATGAACGGCTGCATATATTATTATCATAATATTATCGTATATGGGTAGGTATTGAATTGGAAATAAACATAACATAGTATACGTTGTTACTGACTTTCCTACCTATTATGTAACCACCATTTTAATTTCACACTAATGGGACTTATTTTTTTTTAGTTATTCTGAACGTATAGCAAGTGTTATTTGAGTTAATTTTGTGTAGATTTCAAGAAAATTAAATTTTGAAAATACGTACACTCGTAAAATTTTATACACTATAATACACGCATTTCGAAAAAAACCATACACTTATGCCATTAAGACCACCAAATAAAAGCAAACACTGCAATTACATAAAGCAAAAAATAAACAGTATAACCTTTTTGTTTTCTTTTTACTTCACTTTATAACATCAGACTAAAAATTATCAGAACACATGACGAACTAAGTGCACAGTGTATAATGTACATACATTAAATTAGTATTTACGGGGCGAATCTGGGGATAGATCCACTGTCATTGATTTTTTTTTTTTATTATTTATATGTTATTAAATTATAATGTACTCGTGTACAAATATTAATTTTAATTCAAAATAAAAATATTATAACTATACAATTTTGCATAGTCTTCTTTGTATTCGACACGAGAATAAAACCATCGTTGACCGACTTTTAAAATAATATCATTAGACAAACTAATATACATAAGGCTTAAATTAATTTTTTTTTTTTTAACGTATAGGTAGGTGCTTTCGTATTTTTAATGACAAAATCGTTTGAATTTATTAATATAAATAAAATTAAAATTTGATTATTTCTAGATAAACAATATGGTTATCATAATATATATCTTTCTTGAATTTAAATGTAATATTGAAAAAGTAAATTCAACTTTTTCACTATTGGTAAAAATAATATAAATATTAAATTACGTACTTTCTTAATTAGGTATTGAAAATTATTAAAGATTCTATTTTTTACAACTGGCTGCTAACTTTCCGTCGTTAAAAAAAAAAATTTAAAAATAACTTAATAATTCAATGGTTTAAAACTCACGGTATGACTAAAAACTATTTGTGTATTAATTATTTACCGATCATCACTTTATCAAACATTTTGTTGGATAAATGCAATTTCCATAGTGAAAAACCCTCGACAATTAAGATTGCCATCCACCATCTTATTTCTTGTTTTACCTTAGATATGACTTTTACATAAATTATAAATCAAAACACAGGTTCAAACTATATATTAAATAAATATATTTTATTAAAATTTAGGTTCTTATTGTTCTATATTATTCTTCATTGTTTAATAATAGAATATATATATTTTTATATATATATCAAAACATAAACACTTTATAATAGATGGAAAATAAATGTAGGTATTAATTGATAGTATAAGTGTGAGCATACAGGCAAAGTCTTAAACTAGTAATTTTTTATAAGTAAATAAAAAAAAACTGTGCAGTATATTTTGGGTGGGCATATAAGTCCGAAACAAACCAACATCATAAAAAAATCCTATCGATACAATAGAAATCTTATTAACGTCAATATTTTAAGAATCCTTTACGTAAAAGAAAATCGTGCATGTTGTTTGACCTTTTTTTTTTTTAATGAATATTTTAAATTTCTACATTTTGTAGTGCATAATGTTTAGTTTCAAACGATATGAATATAAATACGTCATACTACGTATAACTTTCAATGCACTGACCTTATCTATGTATAATATCTTATCCGCGATTATGTTATTATTATAAAGTCGATTCTAATGTAGTTGCATTACTGTACATTTTACAGTCTAAAAGTAATAATAAAATCAGTTTATCACAATAAAATGACGGTGATCCAATTTCCAGAAATGTTTAAGTTTTTAATCGTTAATATTTATTCAATCTGTAATAAATTTAAAAATTAAAACTAAATTACTATTTCAAAAATTGCACCGCTAATTATAAAATATGCGAAAATTGGACATAGTGTAGTAGCCAAGGAATAAAGGGAGCTACATATATGTGTACTGTTTACAATTTGAAAATGAAGTAATTACTGCCTTTAATCAAAATTCTCCAAGAAAAATACAGCTGTCAGAGTGTAATAAATGTAGTCACAAGATATATCAAAACAATATATATATTACATTTTCATTTCATTATTAAGTTTTTATTTTTTTTTTTTTAAGTATGACATTAGTGAAAACACTTTTCTAGTTTTGTATTTGTATTTTTTTTTTTTTTGAGGGAGGGGTGAACGTATTTATACCCCACCTAATTCAAAATCCTAGCTACACCACTGCTCAGACATTAGTACTAAAAGTTTTTAGATTACAACTCGTATACTTGACTGAAACAAACTTATACAACTTACTACTATTATTACACGACAATATTAAGTTATTTCCGAGTTCCATATTATTAAAATACTAAACAACCAAAAACACAATAAATTATTATTGTTAATTATTACAATACACATATAAATACGAATAATAATTTATTAATACTAAGAATAATATTATTGAATTATATTATGATTGTAACAAATTTCAGTGAATTAAAATAAAATATAATGACTGACGCACTATGTATATTATTTTTAAAAGGAGGAAAAATTAATTATTATATTCTGAGGAATTAGAATTAGATTACCAAGTGATAATAACATTGACAATTTTATATTACTATTGCCTTTGTCTTTCACAATCTAAATATATAATATCCGAACGGGTTACTAACTAGTGAATACAGCAGTGATTTCAATATAGTGGCCAGTCTTGTTTATCGAATGTTGTGAGGAAGTAACTGACTAAAATATTTTACTGTTTTAATGTCAAATAAAATAAAGGCTGAAACTAGTTACTGATTTACTACTGTTTTAGGAAGGGAGTTAGAAGGGAGGATATATAGAGTCATTTAATTTATATCTGTACACAACGAAGAACCATTGCTAACAGAGAACGATTCCGAAAAAAGTATTATTAGTCATATTTTTCCGTTGGTGCCAAGAAGTTATAGAAAAATTGCTGATTTTCACATTACATAAAAAAATCCTTAAAAAAAATAAAAAAGTAACCTTCTCAGTACAGTAACTAGATTAAAAACGCTACAAAAGGTTCCTATAAAGTTTTTGATTGGAGCAAGATTTCTGGTAGAAAAGTTATTTAAAGACACTTTAATAAAAAGAAAATATAGTAGGTACCTAAAATCGATGTAATACATTCCTCACTACACTCAGATTCTAAAACGCTTAGAGTTTTATTTTCTAAACATATCCTAATCATAAATACCACCGTGTATTTGTACGTGCCTTGCTTATATAGGTATTATATTGATAAGATGAGAAAGAACATTTTCCAATTGTATGATAGTATTTCCCATACACATCAAAAACAGTCACGTAAATTTTAGTATTAATCTTGACAATTGAACAAAAAAAACTATGATAACTGTGACTAACTGAGAAATCATATTATACGTACCTATCTAACGTATCCTACTAACCATTTTTTTTTTTTTTTTTTGGCGAAATAAACTAGAAGAACTTTAATAATGTTATATTAACGCGTTACCCCATATACAAATAAGGACAATGAACTCTCCTATATTTATAATACTGTTCAACAAGAATGTGTGTTATTTATTTATTTTATTTTTTGAACCATTAATAACGTTCGGAACTATTGTTCTCTATAGAACGAGGGTAAACTGGGAAAATGGCATGTAGAAAACAACAACATCCCTACTATATGATATTACGAAATGCTGGACATTTCACAATTGTCATTAACTGCACGTCGTACACAACGGTTCAAGTACCTAACTAAATCAAATTGTCAGCACCTTTTTCGAGTGTATATAAAATATGACGTTAATATTAAGAATTGGTCTACCAAATGGTAATAATTCTTAGTATCAAATATAAATAAATCTAACCCAAAATATACACGTAAACATAAACAGTAATAAACACCTATATAATTACTTGTTATTTTTCCGAGATAGAATGCATCTTACTTGGTTGTTGTGTTATTAATATTCAATCTAATAGGTATATAAAATAACATGTCCTGACTGACTAATCGCCGCCTAGCCCAAACCACTGGACGAATAGGGCTGACATTTAACATACAGATGGCTACTACGATGCAGGGATCCGCTAAAAAAGGATTTTTGAAAATTCAACCCCGATAGAGTTTTTAAATAGGAGTTTTTAGATATTTTTGGAAGGAATATCTAATTGTTTATTTATTTATTTTTATTTATTCATGGGTTACTTCGGTGATACGGTTAATAATTTGATTGTTACGGACAAGAAAACTATTATTATTACTATAATTTACACTATCATCTAACAATAGCAAAGCATTGTCGGGTCAACTATAAAATAAAATAAATATTAATTTTATAAATACAATTTCTAATTAAATCCCAACGCTTAAAATACCATCAACCCGATCGTTAATAAGCATTTGGATACAATCAATTTGATTTAATAGTTTGTTTTGGTTATAATTAAATATACTATATTAATCACGTTCACGATTTTGTATAAAATATTGACCTTTGTTATACAAATACAATAATAACATATAAATACCTGCAAAATATGTTTTCACTATACCTAATAATTATTATAATATTAAAATATGAAACAAAATAATAATAAAAACATTTGATTGATTTATAGATATTATTTCTATTGAAAATCAATAAGTAATATAATAATATAAGATTAAAAAAATTGATCATTATATCATATTTTTTATTATTATCGAGAAATAATATAAAATATTATTTCAATTTGTAAATATGTTTTCAGATTCTGAACGCAGCAAGGAATATATTGGTTCTCCCGTAATCTGTGCCATTAGATTCTGAACATAGCAAAAAACGAATTGTATTGGTTTTACAATGACGCGTGCTTTATTTTTTTATTTAATTTTTGTGTCTTTAAATTACTTTTCTACCAGTAATCTCCTCCATTCAAACAACAAGAACCATTTTTGCTGCATTTTGGATATAGTTTATACACTGAGAATGTCATTTTCTGATTTTCCGAGAAGTTTTAAAAATAATTGGAAAAAACTTAGAAAAACTGAAAAATGCAAACACGATTTCATTATTTACGATTTTTTTTTTTTTTTTTTTGTTATAATTCGGTTAAACAAAATTGTTTACCTGAGATTTTCACGGAACACTTATAATAATACTTTCTAGACATGTTCAGCATTTACATTTTGGTGGTGTTTGACCTATTTCATCATTAGGATAAAATTATCTAACCAAACAAAGAAATCTCAGAAAAAAAACCCCGGCGAAATTCCCCAACGCAACTATATACTGTCAAAATTATATGTATAAAAAATTTGAATATAGTTTATTCATCAATAGTTTGAGCCTATATTGTGCACATAGCTGCCAATAATAATGTTTGATTTTAAAAAATATAAAAAAATATAATATAGTATCAATCAATTCACTGCGTATATTATTGAATACTGATATCAAAAAAAAAAATCTAATGTATTTTCCCAATTTTCACAATTTATCACTCTAAAATCTAAGCAATTGATTTTAAAATGTATAGATAGCTTATGATCTGGCTTATCGCTTAGGGATATTTGGTTACTGAAATTATAGTTATGCAGGCTTTCCTAGAGAGAGTAGATAACACGATTATATTCAACAAATTATTTTTCTGGAATGTTAGTTGATACGTTTGTAATCTAGAGACTAAAAAACTATACGGATGACAATAATTAGACGATAATTTATAAACATAAATAAAATTGAAGTATGTCTGTATTCTGTAAACTATTTTAAATATTATTATTATTATTTACAGTATAGTAGTTTTGGGGATTTGTTTCCAGAGATTTTTTTTCGAATTACCAAACAAAGATACTTGAAAATTTAACGTTATACAACTTACTTCATTAATGGTTAACAACCATTGTATTAAATTGCAAATGCGCGTTAAAAACTACGTGTTATATATAATATAACACATATACACATTCTGTACTTTTTTACCACTAAATTCGCGAATTATGGGAGTAACAGTATTCTATACCTATACCACTACCACTCACGACGATGGCTGTAAATTCCCGAACGCGAAAAATCACAAGAAAAATAAAATGATGTAGAATACCGTGGCGGCCTCGATACAATAAATAATATTTCAAGATTAATGGGGTATCCTGCAGTATTATGTGTTTCGTTGGCATCTATACATATACAGCCGAACCCAACCCTCACGCCACCAGTTGCCCGGTGCCAGTATACACATATAGGTACCTTTGTTATGTCCCACACCCAGGGCGAGGCGTAGGTGGCCGCCAATAACACAATATCACACACACACACAGGGATCCGAAGAAACCAGTTTTACATTCGGACCGAACAATAAATCGTTCCTTTTCAGCGTGCACATCAGCTCTACCGGTCGCGTTTTGCCGACAGTTTGCCAGTTTTAGGCAGCTGCTCTTTTTCTTTTTTTTTTCTCTCTCTATTTTTTTTTTCGCAATAATAATAATAACAACAAGCGTGCACGATACAATCTCCGGACGAAATCCCCCGGAGATGACGGCGAACGAACAAATCCTCCCGTACAAACACAATTTTACGTCGGAATTCGATATATTATTATAAAATAGAAAAGATATTTTGCGCAGTTACATTATATTATATTTTTATAACCTATAAAGCGGCAGAAAAATACACTATACGGTGAGAATCATTTTAATACTCGAAATAGGCTACAGCGATATACGACAGTATAACAGTAGATATATTATATATTAATACTTAAGATATTAAAATTTGATTTATTTCTAACAATCTCGCGATTCAACGAATGTGTTCGTGATTATACCAGAGCGTGATATATAACTGAAAAAAAATATTATTTTATCAATTTTATTCTAAAAATATTTGAATATAGGTAATCAATTTAAAAATTTTGCGATATTTATGTGATATGAAAACGAAGCAATATCGAAAAATTCTAAAATAGATTGCGTGTTACGAAAATACCGTTCGTATTCGATTTGTTTTGAGTAGGTATAGATAGTATTGACGTGATAAAAAGTGAGACAAATATAATACATATAGTATATTAATATATTATATCCAACAGCTATTTAAATTGTCTACATATTATATTACGACAAATATGTTTTACATTCTTCGGGAAGACGTATTCAATATATTATTATAATACATACATGAAGGTATCTGGTATACCTATCTGAAAAACGAAAATTGATGCGACAACATTTACTGGCAATAATATATTATATTATTGTCATAGTATTTTGTTTGGGAAAAACACGAGGTTTTTCTTTGCAAGATTTTCCAAACAATAAAAGAAAATAGAAAATAAGTTATCCCGTCAAAACAAAAAAATGATGATGAAACACACAACTGTCCTATCAACGGAGTTTCCTATATCAATTTAAAAATAAATCTTAGGTACCTACCCAAAAATCTAATCAGTTGGTTTCGGTCTGTTGTCTACCACCAGCACACATAATATACGCGTCAGTCATCACGTGGCAAATACAGAGAGGCATTTTCTGTTTGATGATGTTCGTCGAGAGGACGAATGCCAAAAACATAAAATCACTAACGTGTAACACTCGCATACACCGAAAATACACGAATAAAAACTGAAACTATTTCAGTGGTTTCAATATACCCATTAGGAAATATCGGGCAGAATATATTATAATCCACAAATAATTTGTACACTCGTCTTTTGTCTTTTTTCTAGTTAACCGGCAGCAGACAAAATCCGTTGATTTTAAGACGTATTTCAGTACTAATTATAGATCTTGAAAAAAATAAATACTATTACTAAAATGAAAAATCAAAATTACGATATTATTTTACTATTATTAATTTCATAAATTGTTCACTTTTTGAGATAAAAACGTCTTACAGCTCTAAAAATATTCCTTTAAACATCCAAAAATCACAAACAATACTTGACTACTCGTAATGATACAAGTATCGTATTGGATCAATGCTGTACTGAGGGAGGGGAAAAACTTTCTGTAATTTACACACACCCCGCTTTTTTTAAATTTGTCCGTCATAACTAATCAAACAATTTATCAGTGTTAATATGTATTATTACATTTCCCACGAAAGATAAATCCATTGTAATATCTCCGGAGATAATTATTAAATAAAGGTAATCAAATTATAAATTTTTTATATACTTCGTAGGGATAAGAACTACAAATATTTGAATTAAAATATTGAATTTTATGTTTTGGTAAAAATCATTTTATTTAATTATTTTGACGTTCCTATCAACTTTTTATTTTCATTCATTTTTTATTTTCACTTTTTATTTTAAATTTATAACTTTTAATCATTTTTAAAATTCAGAAAAAAAAGTATACGGTCAATTAGCCATAATAATAACAATTAATTTATTATCAATTACTGCAACTAGCTTCATAATTATGAGTACATTTCACCGAACTTTAAAAAATTATTAAAAAACGTCAATTTATGAAAATAAAAGTTGAAAAGTCAACATTTTCAGATGAATAAACTCTATAAAATAACTATACTATACAATTTTTTCGAAAATAATTAAACAGTTAGTTAACTTTTTAGTTTTTTCACCAAACCAGAAAAATTGAATTCAAGTATAAATATGTGTATTTCTAATTTTAAGTAATATTAAAAAAAAAAAAACATAATTTAATTATCTTTATTATCTCAGGAGAAATTGCAATGGGTGCATTTTCATGGGACACCCTGTTGAGAAATTTATTTTTTCTTTTAACTGTGTAGTTACTTACGTAATTGAATAACATTTTAAACACCTAATGTCTAACACGAAGTGAATTTATAATTTCTATTATTAAATCAAGACAAAGTACCTAATGCATAATATTTAAGGCGAATAAAATTATAAGTTAATACCTACCTAAACAAAATAGAAATGTAATATGGCTAGTTAAATATTTTAAATAAACAAATACGAATAATTTTTTACAGTTGTTTTTATAGTTGTCACACTTTGCACACACTCAACTTGCTTTACTCACCTCGCAGCAAAATATTATAATGACGCTGGTATTCTTATTTAATATTTGATTGTAATTATAATAATTATCAACATGGCCATATTCTAGAACCGGTCACGGAGAAACTCACGAGTTCAAGCCTAAATCTTATTAACTTATGTCACTAGAATTATTTTAAATTGTTTTTATAAACAATAATCAGTAAGAGGTAAAAACAAATTCCTATCTATGAAGAAATGTATACTCAATTTCTTTGAAATCTTTAGGTAGGTGTATTAAAATCTTGATAAAAATTGAAGCTCGAATTGCTAATCATTTTTATAATTCCAAAATGTTGCTTTTTTTATGTTTAACCTTACTTCGGAATCTAATATAATACGTCAATGAATTTGATTAGATATTTCAAATTATATTTTAGATACTAAGATTATTTTCAAATCGTACATATTAAGGCCTTTCAAAACATGTATAACTGAACTCCACTCAGAATTATTTTTCGTCAAGCAATGATAAATCGTTGCGTACGGATATACATTAAATTTCCCCCTCTGCCTTCCCAACTTCTCACCTACAACAGTGGCCCACCCATCGTGCAAAGTATGTCCATTTTTTTTATACTGAAGACGATGAATTATTAGAAGGAAAGTATTTTATTTTATTTTTTTTTTTTTTTTTTAAGCAGAGCGAGGAATAGTTTATACCGATTTAACTAGTGTTCTACTATATGATAGGGGTTTTTATTTGTGTCTGTAAACAACTTTTCTACCAGAAATCTTGTTCCAATAAAAAACTTTATAATAGAATTGTTGATATGATTGGTGAATTCTAGTCATTTGATTGATTTTCCTTGTAGGTTTCTTAATAAATGAGAAAACCAACAGTTTTTGGTATTATTTTTGTTGATTTACGAGTTACATTCGTAACAATGGAAAAATACAACTAATAATACTCTACTCAGAAACGCTTTTAGTTAGCAATGATTTATTGTTGCATATAGATATAAAATAAATAACTCTAGATATCCTTCTCTCCAAATTCCCTCTTAACAGTGGCACATCTATCAGCAGACAGCAGTATCAGGTTTTTTTTTTCTATTGATATAATAACTAGTAGCTCATTGATAAAACAAAATTTATCATGGTTATATAATAAAATTAATCTCCCATAGTAACATACAATACGTACACGAGGTAATTATATATTTCCAGATACATATATAATTTTCTCGCATATACCTATACGACTTTTCTTACTTATAAAATTACGAAAAAAAAAAATCTTCCGACTAAGGGTATAATTAAATTTGGTTTAAAGTATTTTTAACTGTGTATTATTTGCATATCATTATAGAACTTCAATCCGAAGTAAAATCATTGTTCAAACAAAGCGAACCACCTACCATTATATTATCTCCTCAAAAATATTACAAACACACATATACCATCTATCCACTTACGTTTTATTATTTACTTAAATTATGAATAATCCTTACTACATAATACTATTATTTTATTTTTTTTAAACCCTCGCTTTAATGTTTTATTAATATTTCAAACTAAATTTAAAAATTAAGGACAGATGTATGCACATATGAATGCAATTAAAGCGACGTTGTAAAATTACCCGACTCTTATAAATTATTGCTAATTATAACGGATAAAATAATATAATATTGAACGTAAATAAATTATTGATAAAAATCGTTATTAATTTATTATTGTTGTCGATGGATATCTTTATGGAATATAATAATGCTTTATTAAACGCATTAATAAAAGAAAAACGTCCTAGTATAATGCAGACCGGTGCAGCCACTGTTATAAGTAGTTTATTGTATTCCTGTAAGCAACGATAAACCATTGCTAACGGAAAACGATTCTGAGTAGAGTTCAGTTGATAGTGATGATTTTTCAACAATATATATGTTATTATATTATAGTCAAATAATTAAATGGGTTTTATATAATTTCTTCAATAATATTTGTTTAATGTTGTACCAGTTTTCCTACGTTTTTCCCGGTTTTACCATGTTTTTTTCCCATTTGCTTGGAAAACTCGTGAGAAAATCGAAAAATGATCTTCTTACACCGATTTAATTTCAGAAACGGTGCTACACTTAAAAATCGGAGCAAGATTTCAGGAAGAAAAGTTGCGGACAGATAAAAAAAAATTTTGAAAAAAATAAACATCTATGTAAAACCATAAGCTTCTTCGCTCCACTCAGAATCTAAAATATACGTAATTTACGTAACGTAACATTATTTTAATTTTATATTATTTCTAATTATAAACTATGGGGAAAATTTAAGAATGAATACATGGTTTTTTAATGTACAAAGTCGTTAATAATAAGTCAGACTCAGAAAGAAAAATCGTTTTCGTTTTAGTGCGTTCAATTTTAAACATTTCATTAAAATTATTATTATTATTGGGCGTGTTTTGGCGACGCAGTCTTGAGCAACCAGGTTACTAGTTTAGCGAACAAACTGTTTTGGCGACATTGTTTACTATAATTGTTTGATAGCTGATTGCACTTTTGGGCACCCGGATTGCCGGAATCAGCAAACAATTAAAAACTACGTTCACTGTTTTCGGTTACTAATAATTTACTGATATGGACTATCATTCAACCCTACCATCCATTTAGTATAACAAAAATATAATACAGTAAACACAACTTTTGGCTAGTAACCGACCAAGTAGCGAACTACAGCAAACAATTCAAAAAACTTTACTTAAAATGGCATCGCCAAAACACGCCTATTATTATTATTATTATTATTATTGTTATCATGGTGGATTAAACATACTTTGTAACTACATTAATAATATTATTAAATCAAACTGCATGTATTAATGTAACTAATAATAGACCGTCAGACAAATTATTTATGCGTGTTTACATAATAATATTATTTAAACTTTAAAACGATTGGGTGAAACGTGTGTGCATGGAAAAACAAATAATTGACAACGAGACATGATTAGAAAAGAGTTACAACGTGGAAAATACGATATTTAATAAAAAAAAAAATAATAATAATAAAAAAATCAAAGGATAGAACAAAAAAACAATTTTATCGGGGCAACTTAAAGTGCCACCTACGCAGTAGCTATCTACCGATGATAAAAAATCGCTTTTAAACAAGTTCAAAAAAAAAAAATAAATGTATTTTACGTTTGTGATTATCGTAAATCGTAATAGCTCGGGCGAATTATCGTTATTTACAATACTAGGTGTACAGTAAATAACGATATCAATGGCTTTCGGAAACAGCAACCGAAACAAGTAGCTAGATGCCAATATAAAGGCCGGAATAATATTATTTATTATGACCATGACGCGCGAACAGTCCGATAAAAATTGTCGATCGTGTGACAACAATTAAACAGGTCCAGTGATATACGGCCAAAAAAAAAAAAAAAAACGATAACGAAGAGTTGATACTGGGGACGCGTGCAGCCACTGCTGTTGGTTGTAGGAGAAGTTTGGAAAGTAGGATACAAAGACAAACCATTCCAAACGAAAAATGATTCGGAGCGTAAGTTCGGTAAGACACATGTCTATTTCGAAATGCCGTAATTTTTCCGATCAAAAAACGACTCTCTGTGTCAGTGGCCGCATATTAAACTGAACGAAATCGACACTTTGTCATTTTTCGGTCGGAGCAATATTTCTGGTGGAAAACGTAGTTTGAAAAAATTAAAAACAATGCCATCAATCCGGTACGCCGCGGCGCGCCGTCAATATTTGTCAAATAATTAAAAACGCTACACAGCCACAAAGGTTATGCGTGCGTAAAACCGGTCCGTAAATTATTTTTACCCCGTCGGCACAATTATGCTTAGGTGCACGCGGGATCTAAACGTTTTGCGCGTTTGTGAAAAACGGCCGGAAAATGAAAAGTCCGATCGCGTGTCAGGTTATTACTAGGTAATAAAATAATATCGTCTCGGTAAATAGCGTATGCGCGAGCGGATCTTATTGTAAGACGGCGCGTTTCGATATTTCGGCATTTTCTCCCGTCGCCCGCCCAAATAACACTACAAATCGAATCGCAGCATTATTATTAAACGCTAATACGACGCACGCAACGCGAAGCCATTAAAAACACGTTTCCTTTCGCCGTCGTTACGGCAACCCGATGAAAAATATTAAACACTTCGATTCTCCCGCGTCGCACACTACCCGTTGCCAGTCGCCGCGTTTGTTATCACGCACACGCCGCTAATTATCTCGTGTAAACAGATGGCGTGCGCGCGCGATAAAGAACCCGAGACGCGCTCAACACGCCGCCGCGACTTATATACACAAGCGATAATGAATGTTACGGTCCGTTATTGTTATTTTCACCATTGATAATAGTGACGAATTGCCGTGCCGACGACACGGATTTCGAGACGACGTCGCTCGAGGAACCGGTCGCTCGTCCACCGTGCGGTGATACCACGGTCACCGTAATATTGTTGTTGCCGTCAAAGCGCGGACCGGATAACCGGGACATCATTTGTTACGTCGCTGTTTACAGTAATTATCGGCGAAATAATTATAGTACTCACCGGTAGCGCCGGCCGTCGACACGTGCGACAGCAGCAGCACCAGCAGGGGCAGTATTACGGCGGACGTAGTGACAGTCGTCATAGAGGCACATCGGACCGACTTTTGTTCGTCCAACGCACTGACCACAACACGACCAAGAGACGACCGGCCCGTCGATCTCTCGGCACTGACGACAACAACGACCACCGGAGCCGGTAATCCTCGTCCTCTTGTATCTTCGGCGATCACGGCGGTCGCGCGCGGACGGAATCGCCGTCGTCGTGGACACCGAACCAAACTCCCAACTGGTATTTACAATACCGTGGCACTGTAACCCCGGAGGAGCCCGTTTTCGACGCACGTTTTCGGCACGCTGCGGGTCCGGTAAAGAGTCTGCGACGGTGTACGGTCGAAGTGAAAAATAATATCGTACGCGGAAGCGAAACGAGATGTGGTATTTTTTTTTTTTTCACGGGGGTGTGCAGGCCAAACGGAAGTAACGGGACGACGAGTTGCTGATCATATGAAACGAAACGGGAGGAAAAAAATAATGTAAATATTAATAATAATAATAATAATAATATATGTAAATAAAAAAAAAAAAAACAAAAACAAAAACAATCCGATCGAACCAGCGTGTTCCGAAAACACCGACGACGGCGATACTAACCAAACTGATGGTGGGCGATGCGCGCGCACTCACACACTGAAGGCAATAATATTATTGTCATGCACTCGCGCGCGTGTATACACACACGCGCGCGTGAGACACGGCCGTAGTTCAGCGCGCGCACGCGCACATCGCCACACGTTCCTACCGGCCGTATGCACCACGATGCGCGCGCGCGCATTAAACGCTACGCAATACACCATGCCGTTGAGCGATTGGTATGTGATTGGTATTGTATTATCATTGTTATTATTATTAATATATTTTGTGTTGAACATTTTGGCGGGGCGCGGGCGCATGCACGAGACGAATCGCGGAAGTCAACGCCATCTAACGGTGATGCGGTTCGTTACGTTCCGCCGCGTGCCGTATTTTTACAATATTTTAATAATTTCCTTTGATGATTTAGAAGGCCGGGGGTCAGGTTAGGTTACTCACACGCAGTCCCTCTGCCACAACCCACCCCACCCCGTGCCGCGGATGTAATGTTATCGAATAAACGATTTCATTAGTTCGAATCGGCATATTAGGCACTTGCCTATAACACCTATCTAGGTTTCTGGTGGGGCTGGAATTTTTTATTGGGCACATCGAAAATTAAATTTTTTTTTTTTTACTATTCTCGTACTTTTCATGAGACCTCTGATATCCATTATACTGATGTCCATGGTGACATGATTATATTTTTTGTAAATAGTAAATACATGTATACTCCATACAAATTGGCTCAAATAGAACATAAATTGGGATAAAATTCACATCAAATTAAATCTTCATATAGTAGCTAATCGGTAATATATTTAAGTATCCCTCTACGTTATTTAGTAATTGTTGTCCATCAAAAAAATGAGTTATTCATGCGTTTGGTAGTAAGCATTAAATGATGTAATAAGGATATTTGTATTGAGATAAAAATGCAATTGGTCACGGATGAATTAGCGAGCGTTTTTTTTTTCAATTTTATTATGGGCAGGTTAAAGCTTTTGCCACATCCTCTCAAAAACAGAAATGACGCTACTGCTCTGAACGTAACAATATAATATAATGGTCTTATATTATAAATAACTTCGCTTAACAGTGGCGTATTTAGGAATTTTGTGCTCCTGCAGGTACAAAATAATAGCATAAAATAGCGTTCCTTTTTCATTCGGATTTAACATTATAATTAGGCGCTAGATAATATTATGGTATGTACACCAAAATACGATACATAAAACCCTCAATTATTTTGTCAAATATTAATGCCCCAAATGTATAAAACTGAAGCTCACGTAAGTTTACTCTTAACACTCACTTGATATATTAATACAACCAAGGGCGAATTGGACCACTAGGAATTCGGGAGTTTTGTGGGCTGCTTCTTCAAATAACTATTTTAAAAAGTATTTTATGACAAAAAATGATGCTGAAATACCTATACATTTTTTTCGAAGACATTTTTTTTTACTAGTGGTTATCTGAGTCAAAATAGATATTGGTTTATTTACATTTCTGGGGCAATTATCATGGTAATTGGCTATTTAATTGTTTTATTAATCTATAGTACATTCATTGAATTCTATATGATAAGGTTAACTTAACCTGATTTAGGTATATTAAATACAGTGATTTTTTTATCACGAAACAGCAATTATCTCGGAGGATTTTAAATGAATTTGATTTCTGCTTTTTTCTAATCATTATGGAATCATTTAAGCTTTATTTTAAAATAATTTTAAATTTTTTAGCCCTACTTCATGTACCCTAAATAAGTACATACTTTTACTTTTCAAATAGGAACCATCTCTCCTCCTATTTGTATAAAAATTTTGATATGCATAACACTAATATTAAGTTTTGCCGTTTATGAGTTACAACAGTTTAAAATTTAGGTTTAGATAATTAGTTAAAAATAAGGCAAAAAAAAATGAATCTTCATTTATTGAAATATAATAAAAATAAATAAAATTACTTTGACACCTTGTCACTTTACGTTATACAAAACGTGAAAAAAATCGTATTTTAAATCACTGGTTTAAAACTTTTTCGAGATCAATTGTAACATCTCTATGGACACTTAATAGAGCTAGTCCAATTGATTTTTCTTGTCCTGTAGAGTTCCGTAAAAATGTCTTGACGCGTTTCAATGTCGATAATGTTCGATGAATTAAGAAAATCTATTTGACGTGTTTGTCTTGCGGACGATGGGATGTCATAATAATACTTAAAATGTATGCAATTAATTTAATATTGTTGTTAATCGACGCCGACCGCAGACCGGCATCGAAAGCGGTCGTTGTCCATCAATAACAAATCATCTATTATTAGACGCTATAATAATATTTGAATTTATTATGATACAAAACAGTGATAATTTATGACTGAAAATATTTATGTTGGTATTAAAAATAGTTATTTTAAACATTTGTAAAATATTTAAGAAATTACGGGGGGGAAGGGTCCAAATCTCTTGGACCCCCTCCCCTCAGTTACAGCCTTGTGGGCCGGTACTTTTTTCCCGGGCCGAAATCTCTCTCCAATCCGCCCCTGAATACAACCAACTAAATCAAACAACACAATAGTACAAAATAAAAAACCAAGTAATAATAATTGTCATTTTCAATGCCTATCTAATCAAATGAGTATTTTTATAAATAAAAAGACGTCCTAGAATAATAAGGACGGCAGCCACTGTTACAAATAATTTAATGCATGATGTATATCTGTTAGCAACAATTAACCACTGCTAACAAAAAAACGATTCTGAACGGACTTCAGAGTTCAGTTGATAGTGATGCTTTTTCAACGATATGTATGTCATATTATGGTAAAATAATTAAATAGGTATTATATATTATTTTTAATAATATTTATTAAATGTACCGATTTTCCCAAGTTGTTTTCCTGGTTTATCATATTTGTTGAAAAAACTTCCGAGAAAATCAAAAAAAAACCTCGTTAAACTATCTTTCTAGTCAAATTTACTTTTAGAAACATTGCTATCATTATTAATTGGAGCAGAATTGTTTTTAGAAAAGTTGTTCACAGAAAATTTATTTTATGGTAAGTTTAAATATTATGAAACATTTATCAAAATATAGAACATATTATAGCGAAATTATGAACACAAAAACCTAATTCGATATCGGCGACAAATTTCATTGATTCAACGATATCATATTATCATCGAAGACAATCTAATCGAAAAATATATTGACGTATTTTGGTTATCACTAACCGACGCTATATTTTTCTATTATTTTTAGAATACAAAATGTTTAGAATAATGTGTATTTATGGAATACACATCGCTTATTTTATTTCTCGGATTTTCTATTAGTTCATTAGTTACCATAAACAAAAGTTGAAAAATATTAAATATCACCCAAATAGTTTCCCAAAAAATTCAGCCTACCAAATTAATGATATCTACAATGCTCCTAATTCTGTTGTATGCCTCATTCAGGAACAGGCCTAGTGTGAAGCAATGCAAATAAAAGAGCTGTAGTACTCATGAAAGTAGGAGTGAAAGGAAGTTATGGATTAAATAAGGACCAGACTTGGCCACAGTATTGATATCACTAACTTTATAGACTAACTTTTGGATAGGTGGTTTGGGACTTGGCCCTTTTTTCACGGGTAGATTTCTGTAAGGTAATGATTATAATATATTATAGTCTGTATTAAAAATGTATTATACAAATACAAAAATATGATATTAAAAATAATACAAGTATTGAAAGTATAATATGTTATCATAATTGAAATTATTTATTGGACACAATTTCAAAACTTCTATTAAGTAAAAATCTAAAGTATTCCGAATAATTAAAGACACAGGCTCAGAGCAATAGTTTCGTTATATTCGTTCAAATAAACCTGTTATTAAAAAAAATTTAAAAACTTTACCTTTGTATACCTACATCCATGACATTTAAACCTTTATTTAATATATAAAAGTTATTGGAAAATGTATACAATGTTATTTCCTGAATAAAAAAAAAAAAAAATGCTATGAATTAATTTGATTATTGTGATTCGTTTAAACGTGTACGCATCACTCCCCGTTTTTTTCACAAAATTCTTTTTATCATTATAGTTTGAAGCAACCAATTATAAAAGTATATTGTGTGATATAATAATGTACCACATTTTCGTCAAACAGATTAAATTCGTTTCAACATTCAAAATGGTATATTTTCGGAAAATGTTTCATAAATACATAAATAAATATACAGCTATACTAAATAATAATATATTAATAAATGTGAAAGATAATTATTACTAGGTACTATAGAAGCATTTAAAATGACGTAGGTATACACCGGATTGCGGTGAAATAAAAGTTATGAATTTGTGTTTTAGTTTTACATTTATTTTAAAATTACAATAAAACAATTTGAACGAAAAATCAAATTAGTTGTCTGTCTAATCAAAACTTATAAGCTTATTATGATGAATATGTTATCTCTATAAACATTACTATATCGTGTCACCAAAATATCGAATTGCGTTTAATCGATTTAATTACATAACAGCGTATAATATTATGCAGTATGCATATGCTACACGTTATAGAGTATTATTTTTTTTCATGACGTACTGTAGACGTGATTCGTGATTTTTGGTAAAAACGATGTAGGTATATATACGACAGGTGGTCGACAGACGCCAATGATGGGAGTATTAAGGGTAGGCAAAAAAAAGATATAAATACGAAACAACGACTTGTCGTATATATATATATATTTATAATATTAAAAATATACTGTATCCAGTGAAAATCCCTCCCTCGAAATTTGAGATTAGTCTACGAATTTCACATAAATCGTATATAATATAGTTTCATAATTATTCAAAAGTATATTATACGTTGCGCAATTCACCTATCCGGGGAAAACTGGAAAAAATGTTAGCCTAGAGGCAATAGGGGATGCAAAATGCTAAATATCCTGTTGTGTATAATAACATAATCCGATATGGATATAATAATATATCAGTGGTTAATATACTTGTATAGTATATACTATACTGATTCCCGTCC